GCTGATGCTGCAATTTCATGATTTACACTTTCAGTTTTCTCAAACCCAAGAGTTGGACTATCAAATCAAATTTTGTGCAAATCGGACTTTGTATGTGCAAATTGTGGCATTTAATGTTGTTTAACAGCGCCCCCTACAATTTTTTTTTTCTTATACCAAAGAACACCAAAATAATAAACTTTATGCCAGAAAAAAAAACTTTTGGCAAAGTTTGGTGAGTTTTTGGGTCAAATATGAGATCAAACAATAGAAAACCAAAATACCTTTATCCCCATGTAAACCTTTACTCAGTCTGTAGGGAGCGCTAATGGGCCAATTTTATTGTTCACACTGTCATGTGACCTAGGCCCAGGAGTTGAACAACCGAGTCAAGTTTACAGTCTCCATTGGATAACATGGGAACTTCACACCTCTATATGAAAATAACCACACTTTGGGAGTCTGTCACGCGCAGACCGTTTAACTAATTCAAATTCTATATTCAACTATTGATGGTACATGTGTTGAGACAATGTGGAGCGATTTTCAGACAAATTAGTGAAACGGCCGCGGCTGGTTTGATGTTTGAGCAAGGTGTACTTTTCAGGGATTTAACAATTTTGCCATAAACACAGACAGGGGAGTGTTGGTCGTCACCACGGCAACAGGGTAAAAAATAAGCATTTGTTGTCATTGACTTTTTGAATACAGAGGACAAAACGGAATTATGTGCAAAATTTCAAACATTTTGAAAAAACTAAATTGGATTAGGCCCATGTAAAACTTTGACATAGTCTCTAGGGGGCGCTAATGAGCCAATTTCATTATTTCAACTTTCAAATGACTTAGACCCTGGATCTGAACAATGGATTAAAATTGTGTGCAAATCCGACTTTGTGCAAACGGGAGCAAATTTACTGTTGTCAAAAATTGAAAAAAAAAAAGTCAAATTTTGCCGCTTCGCTGCTCGGACAAAGTTTAACTGATTCAAATTCTTTATTCAACTATTGATGGTACATGTGTTTAGACCATGTGGAGCGATTTTCAGACAAATTAGTGAAACGGCCGCGGCTGGTTTGATGTTTGAGCAAGGTGTACTTTTCAGGGATTTAACGATTTTGCCATAAACACAGACAGGGGAGTGTTGGTCGTCACCACGGCAACAGGGTAAAAAATAAGCATTTGTTGTCATTGACTTTTTGAATACAGAGGACAAAACGGAATTATGTGCAAAATTTCAAACATTTTGAAAAAACTAAATTGGATTAGGCCCATGTAAAACTTTGACATAGTCTGTAGGGGGCGCTAATGAGCCAATTTCATTATTTCAACTTTCAAATGACTTAGACCCTGGATCTGAACAATGGATTAAAATTGTGTGCAAATCCGACTTTGTGCAAACGGGAGCAAATTTACTGTTGTCAAAAATTGAAAAAAAAAAAGTCAAATTTTGCCGCTTCGCTGCTCGGACAAAGTTTAACTGATTCAAATTCTTTATTCAACTATTGATGGTACATGTGTTTAGACCATGTGGAGCGACTTTGAGATAAATTGGTGTAACAGCGGAGGAGGAGATGATTTTCAACCGAGTTAGTCCCATAAAAATAAAAAAATATTTTTTGTCGGTTCTGAATTTTGGGCAAAATTTCACAACTTTTCATCAATGTTCAAGGGGTCATATTAAGGTTCAAAGCGCAGAAGAAAGAAATAAATAAGGATTTTTTTTTGAAAATCTTTGCGCAAAAACAATATAGGTTTCCATAGTAACCTATAATACAAATGATACGTCGTTTTAAAGCAAACGACAATGCGAACGCAACTATTGGGTTCTCGGTGATTGCTCGTCAATCACATCGACATCATGAGGTCAGCCAACACAGTCCTACAACATCCTGAGACTTTAGATAGTCAGGGCGGATCTCATCCGCTCACGTAGCCTTACCACCAAGGAGGCTACCAACCATCTTGGTGACTTCAGCTAGGAAGATGGAAGTATCCGGAGAACCTCAACGTATTCCTTCCACCATCCAACAATATCCCCAGTTGAGGTCAGCGGCTCTCCACCCGGTGTGTGCAAAGAACTGCTTCTCTCTCCTAAGGCAGGGGTTCCCAAAGTTTTTAGCCCGCGACCCCCATCATAAATGCCCTGCTAACCCGCGACCCCCGCCCCCCCCCCAACAGCCCTTTTGTCACATGAAATGAGCATGTATTTCCTTGATACGGAGTAACGCTTTCTAGAGACTCACGCCACTACCGAGCTGCACTGTCCAGCCCAAAAAAGGAGGCTTGCATATTTTTACTCATGTAGTGACACAGTGATGGGCTTGGTGGGCTCCCTCCTCAGCAGAAGTGGAGCACATTTCTTGCGGCTCGCCCTCACTGTTCTCATACCGCGGTAAAGTGGGCCGGCTTTCCGGAGTCAGCGGTAAAGAGGTCCGCACATTAAAAGCGGGCGGCCGCTTTCTGCTGTTACTTTATGCGGTTCATCCCCGCGGCTTCTCTTTCCAAAGTTACTGTCAGTAACAGCATAAACCGGCCACCCGCTTTTAATGTGCGGACCTCTTTACCTTTGACTCCGAAAAGCCGGGCCTCTTTAACGCGCTGTTCTACCGCTGTCCTCCCTCCCTCCGCTGCCCTCTCTCCCTCCTCTGCCCTCTCTCCCTCCTCTGCCCTCTCTCCCTCTGCTGCCCTCTCTCCCTCCTTTGCCCTCTCTCCCTCTCTTCGCACCATCAGCCTGACCCCTGATACAAGTGACTTAGTATTATTTATTTGTAGCCTCCAAACACCTTTAGTTTTAGCAAACAACAGCAGGACACGCTTTGTCGCTGCGCATGATGTGAGCTGTGTTACGTGATGATTTTGATTGACGCTGCAATGACTGGGACAAAATTACTAACGTTATTAAAATATATTATAGTCTCCAAACACAATTTAACAAGTAGTCCTTTTGAATCAAATCAAATGCTAAATAAATATTTAAGGGCTTTATATTTGCTCAAAAAAAAAAAATCTTTTTTTTTGTTTGTGTGGAAATCATTTTGCGACCCCCCCAGGGGTTCCCGCGACCCCCCGGGGGGTCGGGACCCCCACTTTGGGAACCACTGTCCTAAGGTGCCGGACGGTTTGCCAGAATCTCTTTAAGACCGACAATTGTTCTCACCCCTCCCCCAAACCTAGTCCACCTCCTCATTCCTCATCACTTGAACCCAGCTCCACAAAACACTGTCCAATCCCCTCGTCAATCTTCCACATTTACACATAGATTACCACTGCAATCTTCCAAATTAATGACCCTCCACTGCTTTCCCCTGAACTCTTTATCTACAAATGCTGGGAGGCACTGAGCCAACATTCTAATTAGAGGAAAAAGAGGCCAGATTCAGGGGTCCCATCATCACGCCATGAAACAAACAATAGGACAGCGGGAATATACAGAATGTGTGTTTTACAGGCGTCTCCCCAGATTTACTTGTGATGATAAAGCAAAGATGTTACAGCTAATATGATAATCAATAATCACTTATAAAAATCTTTCAATCCTATCCCAGTGGAAATCTGAAAGAGACTGAGCTCTGCTAGGTCAAAAAATCCTTAATTACAGCTTGTTTAAGTCACCCCATTTTTAACTAGTCAATTCAGTGTCAACCTGTTGATTTATACCCTGAATTAAACATATTGATATCTTCACAAATCATCAACTGATGCTGACTAGATGCTTGCCAATATAAATAAAATAAAGAATATATAGTTCATCCATTCATCCATTTTCTTTCGCTTGATCCATTGCCAGGTTGGGGGTCTGCAGTCTAAGCCAAGACGCCCAGACTTCCCATTCACACACACTTTCTACAGCTCATGTGGGGGAATCCCAGTGCGTTCCCAGGCAAGCTGAGAGCCAAAGTACCTCCAACGTGTCCTGAATCTTTCCCAGGGATCCCTCAAAGTGGGCTGTGCAGAACTCCTTCCCAGGGAGGTGTTTAGGAGGCATCCAGAAGTTGCTCCTTTTGGTCCACAGTATTTCAAAAAATGTATTTAATTTCTTTAAAGATTGGGAGCACTCTGGCCAGCTTCATTTTCTCAAGGATAGTTCCTATTCTAAAAGATCTATTGCAAACCTATACCTTAGAGCAGGGGTGCCCACACTTTATCAAACCAAGATCTACTTTTACGGGAACCATTGTGCCATTATCCACCTCTAATTTATGTGGGTGCTCAGAATATCACATTAGATTCGATTCATGATGCATGTGATTTATAATAAAATGAAATAATGACTGTGTTTTTGTTTACATTTTGTGGGCAGGAAAGAATACGCAATACGAATACAAAAATTCAAATCCTTTCATAATCAGAATTTAAAGTAAATTCAATTAACATTTCAGATTGAATTGAATGATCAGTTTAAACATTTACTTATGTATGTGTACCTTTTTAACATCTGTCACGAAATGAACAGTATGTTCTTGTGTAGTTTTGTATATAGCTATCTCACTCACTCACTCACTCAATACCTCACTCTGGGTCAAATGCAGGGACAATAAAGAATACCTTAACCCTAAATGCTGTCTGCTGCAATGCCACTTTGCAACGGACGAGGGGAATAAAATATTGATTGCATTTCTTACAACTGGATTTGTTTTCTTTCCGTGGCATGTTTGTCATTAAAAAATATTCTAAATTAAACAGCTCTATTTGATTGCCACATGAATGAAACAAAAGTTAGAACACGTTTTTATCTAGGAATTTACGCTAAGGTTCTTGTTTTGAAGATGTAATGCTCTAAAAGCCCATGAGATGGCGCCATTGCTTCTTTCAGTACAATTGGTCCTTATCCCGGAACTGCAGGCTCTCCACTTGTGCTTCTGTCCAATCAGCGCTGAGGACGGTTTGAAGGCGGAAGTGGAGCCATCCCCTGCATTCACCCTGGAAGTGCAGCGCTCTCCCGGTTCTCCTCTCCCCTTCACCGGCTCTCCTGTCCGCTCTCCTGGGCCTCCTTCACGTTCACCGGGCCTGCCTCCAACATGGCGGCCATCAGCAAGTATCTCACGGCTAAAAACTCTTCCATAGGAGCCGGGGTGTTGCTGGTTTTGTACTTACTCAGACGGAGAAGGCGGGCGAGCAGACAGCAAAGGTAATGACGGCTTCACGGGCTTCAAAACTGGGCAATAAACAATCCAACGCGCTGTCATTACTCGTATGTCAAAAATATCGGCGCTTAATAAAATATGAATATTTTACCACCTCACTTAAGTGCTCTATATCTGCCATTTCATGACTTCTGCATTACTTTGTCTCTGGTTATTGAGTTCTGGAGTGTGGTACTGATTGACCCCACGTGCAGATGTATAACCAAGTTATAAACATTGAGACATTGTGTCCGAATCGACATCAACCCTTAATAGATTGCACTGTATCCTAGTTGCACATAATTCAGACTTTAAATATACTTAAGACTTTATCTAAATACATTCATCCAGTCTTTACAAATCTGGGTTCAACCAAGCATGACCTGCTCTTCATATCTTTACTACACATAAATACAAACTTGAAAAGATATCAGCTATACTAAGTTAAACGAATTGTCAATACTATAGTAGTAACTATTATGTCGTTGTATTTTCTTGATACGTTTACAAAAGAAAAACCGGATATAAAAATATTAGTTGTTTTGCTAAAATCTTTTAATGATTTTTTTTTTTTTTTGGGGGCGACAGGAGCTCAGTTGGTAGAGCATTGGCCTTTGGGCCTGAAGGTCGTGGGTTCGAGCCCACCATAAGACCTACTTCACGACTTCCACTGATGACTGCTGTCGTTGTGTCCTTGGGCAAGACACTTAACCCCACTTTGCCTGAAGCCCCCACTGAAAGATCTCAGCTCCTGTGGACTCAGCAGCTGCAGGAGGATCAGTGAGGGGCTGGTGCTCTGTGACTGGGTGCAGCTCTGACTGCCACCCCCTGACCCAGAAATGGATTAAGGGGAAGAAAATGGATGGATGGATTTAATTTTTTTAGTTGTACTTCCTCCTCCAGTTGCAATTTTTTGGCAGTAAAGTCAATTAAGCCTAATAGGGAAGTGCCCATGGTGAAGTTTGGGCACTTCAAACTTGATCTGGCTACTCTGCATTTACATTAAAAGTGTGAGTATTTGTGTCACACTCACCATTTTCAGTGTGTGCGGTGTTTACGATTTTATATTGTCTTTATAGCTAATTGTCTTTGAATCCAGAAAGGAGCCGTATAAGGATTGGCCATCAGATCAGCCCCTGCCCGTTACCTTAATTGGCTCCAGCTAGCTAACACTATTTATGTACTTGTGTTGTGAACACTGGGGACTTTTGCAATTGTATTTCAATGTGGTTTTACTGCAAATGGCAAATAAATGAAACTGAATTTGAATCTGACTATGGTGGCGTCAGCAATCCACTCCTAATATGTGGTCAATGCCTATGAAAAGGTTTTCTTGACTTGAAGCTGCAGATGTTCTCTGGTAGCATCACATGGTCAAGTTGTTTTCAAATGTTCCCATATTCACTTGTTGTAGCTGCACTATGCTTTAACAACTACTTTCCTGGTCCACATTTGTGCATGGGTCACTCTCAATGTACTTAGCTAACTTGTGATGATCAAAGCCAACCAAGTTTGACATTAACATTCCTACTAAACTTGATTTAGTAAAAAATAATAAGCCTATGTACTTTGCTGGGACTATAGCTTTACCTTTACATATAAAAACATGTTCTGTCCATTTCCCTGCATTTCCTTGTGTTGGCTCTCTGCTGTTCACATAAACGCACTCGATTGCAGCAATGTGTGCTACGTTATCAGCTCTGGACATCAATAGCCGATAGAGTTGTGTCCAAATCCCTTTCGGCACCCCAGGGACTGCTCTAACTAAATTAAAAATATTTACATGGCTGCTTCGCTATAGATGCTGCAGGGTTCAAATAACTATTGCGATATATTGTCTACAAATATATGAGCCAAGTATCTTGTATCGTATCATATTGGACCCACAAGTTCTCTAAAGACAATAATGTGATAATTTTGTATAGTGATAATGTATTGCGAGGGACCCAGCGATTCCCAGCCTGAAATTGGAAGTGGAACTGCATCCGACAAGTGGTTATAGTTTAGTCCTATGTTTGAGCTTTTATCTACAAAATGACTTCCTCTTCTACCGGTTAGCCCAGTCATAGCAATCTATAAAGAACGACTCATTCATTGCCTCTCCTGTTTCTTTGCTGTGTTCTGGATAACCTGGTGTATGTTGTATGCAATGCTTAAAGTTCCTGTGCTCGTCTCATGGTGTGTTTTGCGTGTTGTCCTCAGACAGGGATCCACAGAGCTGCTCCTGGCTGCAGAGGTATGACACACACATGGCCTCTTTACGACATGTGCTCAGGTGTGGAGTCGGCAGTGCTCTGAGCCACAAGACCTTTCCCCTTTCTCCACTATCATGACATGATGACGCAACCGTCAGTTGTATCATTATGTCATGTCATGTTGTTCAGTCAATGAAAAATGGAACACTATATTCTCGTCTTAATAGTATGGTTAAATACAGTTGTAGAGGATTAAATGTCACCCCATGACTTATTAAAGAAGACATTTGAGATTTAACCATGTCGCAGCATTGTTTCTTTATAAAGAGCCCCTTCTGTCTAAATCTGTTTTCAAACTCGTTATGACCATTTAGGGCTGGGCGATATGGCTGAAAGCTATATCACAATATAAGTATTTCATATCGGTCGATAACGATATATATTGATTGTTTTTTTGTTTTTTTTTAAACGTAAATAAATACATTTGTCGAGTCGGCTAACACATGTTAGCAGCCTTGTTTACAGTCACGGGTGAATGAGGCTGGAGCCAAATGTTCACAAGCAGTCTCCCCCATAGTTAGTCCTGGTTTAATCCTGGTTTAGCTCCTGTTTTGGCTGTTTTCGAGTGTCTTGTGTCCCCGTTGCGTCTCCGGAAAGTGAATCTCTTGCTTTGGGCGAATGCATCTCTGTACCCACTGCCTTTCTCGCCGCACATGCTGCTCCTCGCACGGACATGCAAACCCATTGACACGGCACTGAAACACGATCTTTAGATCCATGGCTATTATAATAGATCCATGATCCATGGACGCTACGCATGATTGTTGTGGTCGAGAAGTCTCTGCCTACATCCCCCAGAATGCCGCTCGCTTCTGACTCTGCTTTACTTCCTGTGTTTTGTTCCTGTTTTTTCGAACGGAGTGAAGTTAAACTATCGAAAGTTCTATCGACCCCGTTTTCTATTGATATCGAACACGTGTCTATGGCAATATATATCGTTATCGTTTTATCGCCCAGCCCTATGACCATTATAACTGATGTCACGGACAAAGCTGTTTGCTGTGAATGTCTGTATAGTGGTCATTCCAAGTGCTTGCAATGTCGTTTGTGGTGGTGGTGGCCCATCAGACTGCTGCAGATTTTCATAACGCATCCTGTCTACATTTCTACTTTCTTCTTTCTAAACCAGGCATGTCCAAACCTATGCCCGGGGCCAATTGCGGCCCACTGTGCCATTTCCCAAAATTAGCCATTGCAATTGTAAACATACATTCAGTGTCATCCAGCCAACTTAATCTCCGCTATAACAGGCAAACTATACCTCAGTGTAAACTGGCTATACCAGCATGCCCCCTTGACCCTTTCAACATTTCAAAATTAAATGTTTTGCCAAGAATCAACAACAAGTGGGACACAATCGTAAAGTGGAACAAAATTTATTGGATAATTTAATTTTTTTTTAACAATTAACAAACTGAAAAGTGGGGCGTGCAATATTATTCGGCCCCCTTGCGCTAATACTTTGTAGCGCCACCTTTTGCTGCAATTACAGCTGCAAGTCACTTGGGGTATGTCTCCATCAGTTTTGCACATCGAGAGACTGGAATTCTTTCCCATTCTTCCTTGCAAAACAGCTGGAGCTCAGTGAGGTTGGATGGAGAGCGTTTGTGAACAGCAGTCTTCAGCTCTTTCCACAGATTCTCGATTGGATTCAGGTCTGGACTTTGACTTGGCCATTCTAACACCTGGATACGTCTATTTGTGAACCATTCCATTGTAGATTTGGCTTTATGTTTTGGATCATTGTCCTGTTGGAAGATAAATCTCCGTCCCAGTCTCAGGTCTTTTGCAGACTCCAACAGGTTTTCTTCCAGAATGGTCCTGTATTTGGCTCCATCCATCTTCCCATCAATTTTAGCCATCTTCCCTGTCCCTGCTGAAGAAAAGCAGGCCCAAAGCATGATGCTGCCACCACCATGTTTGACAGTGGGGATGGTGTGTTCAGGGTGATGAGCTGTGTTGCTTTTACGCCAAACATATCGTTTTGCATTGTGGCCAAAAAGTTCGATTTTGGTTTCATCTGACCAGAGCACCTTCTTCCACATGTTTGGTGTGTCTCCCAGGTGGCTTGTGGCAAACTTTAAACGAGACTTTTTATGGATATCTTTGATAAATGGCTTTCTTCTTGCCACTCTTCCATAAAGGCCAGATTTGTGCACGACTGATTGTTGTCCTATGGACAGACTCTCCCACCTCAGCTGTAGTTATCTGCAGTTCATCCAGAGTGATCATGGGCCTCTTGGCTGCATCTCTGATCAGTCTTCTCCTTGTTTGAGATGAAAGTTTGGAGGGACGGCTGGGTCTTGGTAGATTTGCAGTGGTCTGATACTCCTTCCATTTCAATATAATTGCTTGCACAGTGCTCCTTGAGATGTTTAAAGCTTGGGAAATCTTTTTGTATCCAAATCCGGCTTTAAACTTCTCCACAACAGTATCTCGGACCTGTCTGGTGTGTTCCTTTGTCTTCATGGTTCTCTCTGCGCTTTAAACAGAACCCTGAGACTATCAAAGAGCAGGTGCATTTATGCGGAGACTTTATTACACACAGGTGCATTCTATTTATCATCATCAGTCATTTAGGACAACATTGGATCATTCAAAGATCCTCACTGAACTTCTGGAGTGAGTTTGCTGCACTGAAAGTAAAGGGGCCGAATAATATTGCACGCCCCACTTTTCAGTTTTTTATTTGTTAAAAAAGTTTAAATTATACAATAAATGTAGTTCCACTTCACGATTGTGTCCCACGTGTTGTTGATTCATGACAAAAAATTAAAATTTTATATCTTTATGTTTGAAGCCTGAAATGTGGCCAAATGTTGAAAGGTTCAAGGGGGCCGAAAACTTTCGCAAGGCACTGTATATGTGACCATTGCTCAAAAATGCATATCTGACTGTCATGTAGCTAATTATAATTGTTCACATTCAGCTAACTTAATTTGCGTCAATTGTAAATAGACATGTCATTCCTCATTTAAAGCTCAAAACAGCCTGAATCCAGTCAAAACAGTTTTACAATGTAGTCCCTGGACAAGTATTGTTAATTAAAGTGTTTGGACACTCCTGTTTATTTATTTATTATAGATTGCAATCATCTTTTCAAAGGGATCTTGTTCTAAAAAATGCAAAGGTGTAAAATCTTTTAAAACTAGTCTGTTCCATTAGTGGGTTTCAGTTATGGCAAAACGTTTCTAAATTAAGTATGTGTGCTTATTTGCAGAAGGAAGCACGAAAGGACAAAGCCGCCGTGGATAAAGTGTTCTTCTCCAGGTTAATGCGAGTAGTGCGCATTATGGTCCCAGGCGTCTTCTGCATGGAGGTACGCTGCACGGCCACACCAACGTTTAGAAATACATCAATAAGTATCGGTTGTTAAATTTACAAATGTATCTTGCTGAGTGTTCAAGCTGGAGTTTCAGACTATTTCAGGGTGCTTTAGAATAGATGTGGGGTAAATTTCTAATTCACACTTGTACCCAGTGACTCTCAATTGATCTCAAAGAACGCGCTCCATGCTCTGGCTGTTGGCGCACAGTAGCCGAGTGTAGACACAAAGAGAAATGGAAACTTAACACGGACTTATAGGAGTGTATTATTTGTTACTAACATATGAAATACTAAAAGCAGCAAAAAGCACCTTTGTACATTATAGTTCAAATGTTCTTGCACTTCCATTCCAATGAATATTTTCATGAAGGTGACGATATATAACGGGTATAATTGTTTCATAATCAAATCGCAACCTCAGAATCCTAATTGAATCGTGAGGTGCCCCAAGATTCCCACCCCTACTTTGGAATGCCTTCTGTATTGGAGACATGAAGAGCCAAAATCTACCCATTGTTTGACAAATAAAGATGCACGATACAACAGTACTTTATTGTTCAATGATATTAATACCAAAACATTTTTTGCCTTGAATCGGTCAGTTTGCCCAGACCAGGGGTGTGAGACTCATTTCAGTGGGCTCCAAATTTTAAAATGTGAGGTTGTTGGCGCCCAAAAATGATTTTGGATGTTCTTTGGTAGATTAGCCAAGAAATGTAAAGGAGGCTTTCTATTTGCTTGTTTATTTGTTGTTTGTTTTGTTATAACTGTTATTGTGTTTTGAGGTCAGTGATTAGAATGATATTGATGATGTGGTTGGTCTTACGAAAATTATCACTAAAATGTATGTCATGTGAATGTAGCCCACGTTAATCTGTCAGCATCATGCAAATTCTTTAGTCAACCTAAAGTAACCCCATCTCAATCCCCTCTGAGCTAATGCTAGCCCGTGCCAGGTGTAAGGATGGTAAACATGAGCCTACACCAGTGGCATCCACTGCTCCTGTCACCTCTGCCCCACACTCAGGTTCCATAAGTCCACAGAGGAGCACACGTGAGCAGCAGATAGGCCCAAGGACATCCGACAGATAGGCCTGTGTCTGTTTATATGTGTGTGTCATGCCAGATATCTCGATACTATATGATGTAATATAACTATAGCTTTGATGAAAATCTAGCATTTTTCTGAAATACTGGCATTTTATTGGGAAATGTATAATGTTTATTTCATTGCTTTATTGATACCAATGTCTTAAAAAATGCCCTGGCCCCGCCCTGACTCTGACCAGGCAGACTGTTGGTAGCATGTTCAGTCAATGTATGTTTTCTGAATCTGTGATACGCAAATGATTCAGCAACATTGCGCAGATAATTTTAGAAAATGATCCACTGATTGTTGATTTTCTTTGATTTTGGTCTGAGGGGCGAAGCAATACAGCAAGACTGAATATGGAGTTCAGACTCTTTGACCTGATTTTTGAATTATGTGCAAAATAGTGTAATAATAATTTAACCTTGATTCCTGCAATATAAGGTAATCCACCAATGGACAGAATAACTGTCATGTTTAAATGTATAATTATATTTATTATGTACTATCTAACTATTTATGTTAGGGCTGTCAAAATGATCGTGTTAACGTGCGTTAATTAATTTAGTTTAAAAAATTAACGCTTTTAACGCATGTGCCAAGTGACTGGCTCTCCGCGCGCGTGTGACCGGGGGGCAATTGCTTTGAATGGGAGTCCGCAGCGCTCTGGGGCAGCTGCGGCCGCTTTGGACAGCGGTTCCCGGGTCCTGCAGCTGTGAGAGGCTTTCGTGAGTGTACATATGTACACTATGCTGTCATTTATCTTTCCATTCAAACAACCATTTACAAAAAAATATGGCATCATTTTGCCAATAGTTCTAAATGCGATTAATTATGATTAATTAATTTTTTTGCTGTAATTAACTCAATTAAAAAATTTAATTGTTTGACAGCCCTAATTTATGTACTATCTTGAAGAGTAGTGACCTCCAGTTCTTGCCTCCAGAGCGCCTACCTGCTGCTCATCGCTGCCATGCTGGTGGCTCGGACCTACTGTGACGTGTGGATGATTCAGAACGGGACCATGATCGAAAGGTGACACTGGACACACTCAGTCACATGACATCACACCCCAACATCGCGACAAACAAATTACCATAATTCCAGTGCTCTTGAATTCAAATGTACATACCGCACCTGCAAGTTTGACAATAATGTACATTTTAATTATTATTTATATAAAGCACACTTGAATATAAAGTTCATGTGACTATCCCACAGCTCACAGCTGTGAAGCACAAGTGCTGTGTGGGATCCAAGCACTTGACAAATATAGCACCTAATAATCCGAGGATGTACAACACGGACATCATCCTTAGAGTATTATATTTAAATGTACACTCAGCAATTTTTACTCCCATCTAGCGTTAACAGCTAAACCAGGTTAAAAACTAGACTAAACCATTGGGCAATGTAGTGAACATACAGTGGGGCAAAAAAGTATTTAGTCAGCCACCGATTGTGCAAGTTCTCCCACTTCCACCATAATGACAGAGGTCTGTAATTTTCATCATAGGTGCATTTCAACTGTGAGAGAAAGAATGAGAAAAATATCCAGGAATTCACATTGTAGGATTTGAATGTAAGAATTTCTTTGTAAATTATGGTGGAAAATAAGTATTTGGTCACTTCAAACAAGGAAGATCTCTGGCTCTCACAGACCTGTAACTTCTTCTTTAAGAAGCTCTGCTGTCCTCCACTCGTTACCTGTATTAATGGCACCTGTTTGAACTCATCTGTATAAAAGACACCTGTCCACAGCCTCAAACAGTCAGACTCCAAACTCCACTATGGCCAAGACCAAAGAGCTGTCCAAGGACACCAGGAAAAGAATTGTAGACCTGCACCAGACTGGGAAGAATGAATCTACAATAGGCAAGCAGCTTGGTGTGAACAAATCAACTGTGGGAGCAATTATCAGAAAATGGAAGACATACAAGACCACTGATAATCTCCCTCGATCTGGGGCTCCACGCAAGATCCCGTGGGGTCAAAATGATCATGAGAACGGTGATGAAAAATCCCAGAACCACACGGGGGGACCTGGTGAATGACCTGCAGAGAGCTGGGACCAAAGTAACAAAGGTTATCATCAGTAACACACTACGACGACAGGGAATCAAATCCTGCAGTGCCAGACGTGTCCCCCTGCTGAAGCCAGTGCATGTCCAGGCCCGTCTGAAGTTTGCCAGAGAGCACATGGATAATACAGCAGAGGATTGGGAGAATGTCATGTGGTCAGATGAAACCAAAGTACAACTGTTTGGTATAAACTCAACTCGTCGTGTTTGGAGGAAGAAGAATACTGAGTTGCATCCCAAGAACACCATACCTACTGTGAAGCATGGGAGTGGAAACGTCCTTGCTTTGGGGCTGTTTTTCTGCTAAGGGGACAGGACGACTGATCCGTGTTAAGGAAAGAATGAATGGGGCCATGTATCGTGAGATTTTGAGCCAAAACCTCCTTCTATCAGTGAGAGCTTTGAAGAAGGAGTGGCTCCGTAAGAAGCATTTGAAAGTCCTGGAGTGGCCTAGCCAGTCTCCAGACCTCAACCCCATTGAAAATCTGTGGAGGGAGTTGAAAGTCTGTGTTGCCCGGCGACAGCCCCAAAACATCACTGCTCTCGAGAAGGTCTGCATGGAGGAATGGGCCAAAATACCAGCTACTGTGTGCAAACCTGGTAAAGACCTATAGTAATCGTTTGACCTGTTATTGCCAAAAAAGGTTATATTACCAAGTATTGAGTTGAATTTTTGTTATTGACCAAATACTTATTTTCCACCATAATCCTAAAACGTGAATTTCTGGATATTTTTTTTCACATTCTGTCTCTCACAGTTGAAGTGTACCTATGATGAGAATTACAGACCTCTGTCATTATTTTAAGCTAGAGAGCTTGCACAATTGGTGGCTGACTAAATACTTTTTTGTCCCACTGTATGTCTTCACCCTGAGTTGAAATTCTTCTGTCACTGGCTATACTGTAAGTGCAGCTAACGTGTCTGCGATTCTGAAGTATCATTTAATAATATGATTAGGGCTGCAACAACGAATTGATAAAAATGATAAAGATTACTGATTTGTGTCCATAGACTGTATATATTAAAAGACATAGTTACGCCTTTCTAGGCCGTTCTAACTAATGGGCCAAAAATTGGGCTTTCATGGATTGATTCAAAATGGCCACGGGGGCTGGAAAATGTGAAAAAGCGCATCTGCGCATGCGTCAGCTGCACGAGCCCATTCATGTAAACGAGTGACTTCAAAAATTCACAGCGAGTAAACCAGACTGGTCCAAAAAAAATCACCCCCCTCAGCATTGACACACATGTGAAACTGAGCTTTGGGCCAAGAGCCAACTTTTGGTCCATCCTGTAAAGACGTTTTCCGAGAGGTAAGAAGATGCTATATGTTAGCATTGGCTAGTTATTTTTCCGCCTCCACCCCCATCGGCCCGGGGTGGTATTGCAAGCATGTCAGCGCCCGTCATTTTGGCCACTTTTGAGCCGTGACCCGCCCCCACTGGTTGTGTCGCACGATTAATACGTCACCCACTACATCCCGGAGCTCACGTGAGTTGGGCGCATCTGTGATCAGACGCCAATGCGTTAGGATGGAAAATAAGGGCAAAAATAAATATCTCTATTTTTTTCCTATGTTCCGATAACAATATGGTCACGATATCTTTAAAATCAATCATTTTTACACAAAATGATCTGCAATGTTTTGCTTGCCAGGCCATCTGTGGATTGATGCGGGGCTTCACTCGTGGATGAGAACTTTATACTTTATAGATTTTTACATAATTCTTTGTCTAAACAATTCTTGTCCGTGTAGTTCTTTTACATAATTGTGGTCCTCCATGGTTCTTTCTTCAAACTTGGCACAATATCAGTAGCACCTATGAGATCACATGGCGACAAACGCGATTCTTGCAATGCTTTTTGTCACTTATCAACCAATGTATTTCGAGATGGTGCATTGACACGGAGCGTCTTCCAGCGCTCATTCATATTCATAGGTAAAATTCTAAGCCTATGACAAGAGTTCAAAATTATGGTGGAGGTGAATATTCTTAGAGAGGTTACATTTGTGATTGGTTAACATGTTTTTTTTCATTTGGAGCAATTGTAAAAATTACTGAGTGTACCTTTTAAAGTTTGGGTAAAATCCATGTTACTACTTCAGTTCCTGGCTAGCTTGGTTCATCACAAGTTTACACACACATTTTTTATTTACTTCTCAAAAGATGACAAAAACTGCAAGTTGTGGTCAGATTTGTTCGCATCATGCTGTTTTTACCCCGCTAAACTCTGCTTATGCTTGTTTCTCCTGTAGTGCAATTATCGGCCGCTCCACAAAGGACTTCAAAGTCTTCCTCTTCAGCTTCATCAAATTCATGCCAGTGGTGAGTTCTCATACCTGCTTCTCATATATTCTATTATTGGTCTTTACTAGTCTACATTATATTACACTAAACCAGAATAAAGTGATTCTATTAAGTCTCAAACTGTAAAGAACTTGGATAATGTTATCGATTAGAGTAGATTTTCCTTGACAAGTAAATGTATTCTTATTAAATGTAACCTTTTTTTTTTTTAAAGGGGCAGTGCACATTAATAAACATAAATTACTTTAAATGTGTCAGTATTAACTATACAGCTGGTTTCCAACTGCAGTCTGCAGGCATAAAAACACCCCAAACATTACAATATAAAATACATCATAGTAACATAATGTATATGTTTTCCTTTTCAGAAATATTACTAAATTGTACCTTGAAGTAGAACTGGAGTTGTTTATAGCTACTTTCATGTTAATATCAATAATTTCCAAACTTTTACTTAGATAGTGCTGATTTTCAGAGCTACTTTTTTAAGCAGTGAAAAGATATTGGGAGCTATGGAAGGGATGGTGAGCTACTGGGAACTCTTGGCTCATTGTTTGGAGACTCCTGCTCCAGTGCAAACACGCTCTTTTCAACATCAAACGGCATTATTCTCATTCGGTTCAGGCAGTGTGCATTACTCAACAGATGGAGTTGTTTTACTGCCAATTCAACTTATCAAACGGTTGTGTGTGTTTAGATTGCCTTAGTGAACAACTTCCTGAAACTGGGCCTGAACGAGTTAAAGCTGCGATTCAGGGAGAGACTCACCAAGAATCTGTACGACCAGTACCTGCAGTAAGTACATCTACCCCTACAACTACTCATACAACTACTACTGCTACTGCTACTATACTACTACTGCAGGGGTATCACAGTAACTGTTGGAGGCAGTACCCTCTGTAAAACGTGTGGACTGTAACCGTTTCAATTTTATAAAACTGGAGCATCTGGATGGGCCCACGGTGTCAACACCACAAGCCTTTCCAGCTTCTCGTCAGCTGTAAAACCCCTCATCACTCACTCACACCGAGTGGAGCCATCAGCTCTTTTGATGACTCCCACGGAACTGTGCGCAAAAGCCGTATGAAAAACAGTGCACGCTGCAAACCGTTGGTTACGTGCCCTGAAACGCTGTCATTAACATGACCTGACTGGTGAATAACAGCAGCTGTGGACAGATCCATCAAAGTACATCACTCATTTTTTTTGGTTTGATTTTCATTTTGAGATTAATTTACAGAATGAGTCTTGTAAAAATAACATTTTGTCAACAATTAATGTATTTTTCTTAATAGAAAACAAGTTTTTTTTATATCCATACTGAAAGCTGATTGGAATGAGGAGAGTCCTACTCTAAAATCCTGATCTAAAGCCCAAACATATCTAGAGCTAGATAGCTAAAACAAAACAGCTTTGAGACTGAAAACATGGTTGCATAGGTATTTTCTTGTGGTTCATAATGTGAAATGAATAATAGTAAAAATATGACAATATCAAAGGTCATGATAGCCACAATAACCGTCAGTTAAAGTGTTCATAGCGTGAGAACTCTATGAACATTTTAAAAATGCAGAAGGTTTTTTCAAAATGTTTAGGGAAGAACCGCCCTCTCCACTTTTTGAACAAAACGCTATGGTCTTATTGGACGAGCTCATATCCCTAGAATGATGGAGGACCAATAATCTTGATGATCCATCCGGAAGTTGGAAATCCTCTTATAAACCTTTAAGGGACAAGATAAACAAACAATTTATTTGGTTCCTCTTGGGCCTGATTTGTAAGGCAAGACAAGTTTATTTGTATAGCACAATTCATACACAAGGCAACTCAAAGTGCTGAACAAAACAAAATAACATTAAAAAATTCATAAATAATCACAGTACATTTCTGTAAACAGAACTGTAGACTATTAGAAAGCCTTAACCGAGCCTTGCGAGGTGATTACGTTTGCTCTGCCTTTGTGTAAATAGACGGGTACAAATGACTGAGGACTCGTTTATTTGATTAAATAACTGTCCATCAATGTTGAGATAAATAGTGAATATTTAGAACATCCTATCGAGCCCTATCGAGCCCTATTGAGCCATGATGGTTCGGGGGACTCCTGAGGCAGCTGTCCAGTACCGGCAGGCCAAGCTTTCCCGCGGCCCGGGCTGTTGCAGAGGCAAAAACCCGGGACTGGGAGGAATTCGGAGAGTCCATGGAGCATGACTATCGGTCGGCCTCGAAGAGATTCTGCCATCCGGCGCCTCAGGAGGGGGAAGCAGTTCTTTGCCAACACCATGTACGGTGCGGGTGGAGAGCTGCTGACCTCGACTGGGGATATTGTCGGGCGGTGGAAGGAATACTTTGAGGTTCTCCTCAATCCCCCCGTCACGTCCTTCGTTACAGAGGCAGAGGCTGAAGATGTTGGGGCGGATACATCCATCTCCCTGGCTGAGGTCACCAAGGTGGTTGGCAGCCTCCATGGTGGCAAGGCTCCGGGTGTGGATGAGATCCGTCCTGATTATCTAAAGTCTCTGGATGTTGTAGGACTGTCTTGGCTGACACGTCTCTGCAACATTGCGTGGCGATCGGGGGCGGTGCCAATGGAGTGGCAGACCGGGGTGGTGGTCCCTCTCTACAAGAAGGGTGAACGGAGGGTGTTCCAATTATCGTGGGATCGCACTCCTCAGCCTCCCCGGTAAGGTCTACTCCAAGGTACTGGAGAGGAGGCTACAGCCGATGGTCGAATCTCGGATTCAGGAGGAGCAGTGTGGTTTTCGTCCCGGTCGCGTAACACTGGACCAGCTCTATACTCTCCATTGGATACTTGAGGGTTCATGGGAGTTCGCCCAACCTGTCCACATGTGCTTTGTGGATTTGGAGAAGGCGTTCGACTGTGTTCCCCGGGGTGTCCTTTGGGGGGTTCTCCGGGAGTACGGGGTCGGAGGTCCTCTGCTGAGGGCCATCCGATCCCTGTATGACCGGAGCCAGAGCTGTGTTCGCATTGCCGGCAGTAAGTCAGACCTGTTCCCGGTGAATGTTGGCCTCCGACAGGGCTGCCCTTTGTCACCGGTTCTGTTCACTGTATTTATGGACAGAATTTCTAGGCGCAGCCAGGGGTCGGAGGGGGTCCGGTTCGGAGACCACAGGATTTCATCTCTGCTGTTTGCAGACAATGTCGTCCTGTTGGCTCCAACGAACCAGGACCTGCAGCATGCACTGGGGCGGTTTGCAGCAGAGTGTGAAGCGGCTGGGATGAGAATCAGCACCTCCAAATCCGAGGCCATGGTGCTCGACCGGAAAAAGGTGCCTTGCCCTCTCCAGGTGGGTGGAGAGGTCCTTCCTCAAGTGGAGGAGTTCAAGTATCTCGGGGTCTTGTTCACGAGTGAGGGAAGAATGGAGCGTGAGATTGACAGGCGGATCGGTGCAGCGTGCGCAGTGATGCGGTCGCTGTATCGGACCGTTGTGGTGAAGAGGGAGCTGAGCCGAAAGGCAAAGCTTTCGATTTACCGGTCAATCTTTGTTCCCTCCCTCACCTATGGTCATGAGCTTTGGGTAATGACCAAAAGAACGAGATCGCGGATACAAGCGGTCTTAGAGATAGGGTGAGGAGCTCAGTCACACGGGAGGAGCTTGGAGTAGAGCCGCTGCTTCTCCATGTCGAGAGGAACCAGTTGAGGTGGCTCGGGCCTCTGTTCCGGATGCCTCCTGGACGCCTCCCTGGGGAAGTGCTCTGGGCACGTCCCACCGGGAGGAGGCCCCGGGGAAGACCTAGGACACGCTGGAGGGACTATGTCTCCCAGCTGGCCTGGGAACGCCTTGGGGTCCCCCCGGACGAGCTGGAGGAAGTGTGTGTGGATAGGGAAGTCTGGGCGTCTCTGCTTATGGGGCTTTCACACCGCCAACGCTGAAACGCGGAAGCCCCGCTTACCAGACGCGCATTCTCTAGTTTTCAGACGCAGAGGACTTCACACCAGAACGTCCTGACGCGAGCCGGAAGTACCGGAAGTAGCCGGCCGGCTCTGATGCTAACAGAGCTATGCTAGCGGCTTCTTGTGTACAGATCTTCTCCAATATGCAGCTTTGCAGCGTGTCTTTGCTCACAGACATTCCACGGGCTTTATACAACAGTAGTATGTGTTCACGGAGGTGCGCCATACGTTTTTTCATATTATTCAACGGAATTTCCGCATCGGCGAACACACTCGAACCAGTTGCATAAGGTCACGGGAGCATGACAACGCATATTTTCACAAGCACACAGTCCCCCATTGTCAACCCTGGTTTGAGTTCTGGTGAAGCCTGGTGTGGGTCCTGTTTTGGCTGTTTATGAGTATTTTCAGTCTGCTCGCTCAGTCCGCTGATGTCCCCGTGACCACTTTGCTGCTCTCTGATTGGTTGTCGCACGAACGTCGCAAGGAAAGGATGAGCAGAATCCATCTCCTGTGGGCGTCAATTTTTCGCTCCTACTCCTCCCTTTTCACTTTCCCGCCAAGTCCGTGCGTCATTATTGAACAGTCCGTTCGTGCGAACCGAGAGGTCCGTGCGCTGTGACGGTCGAACGCGCGCCACCATAGACTTTGCATTGAAACCCGACGCAACGACTGTCCCGGTCTGAAAGCACCATTAGACTGCTGCCCCCGCGACCCGGCAACGGATAAAGCGGAAGAAAATGGATATTTAGAACATGTACAACAAGGATCTGTGTGTCACTTATTAAAACTTGATAAAAGTACAACACGTCTTTCTTAGATATTTCTCTCTGAATATGTTATCATTCATTCATTCCCGTTTTGACTTCCAGGGGTTACACTTACTACAAAATGGGCAACCTGGACAACCGGATAGCCAATGCTGACCAGCTGCTCACACAGGACGTGGAGAGGTTCTGCAACAGTGTGGTGGACCTCTACTCCAACCTGAGCAAGGTACTGTGCATTTGGTGTTATTTACTTTACCTACACTAGAGCTTTACTGGCATGTCATGCTTTAGAATATGAAGCAATTTCTTAAAGGACAACTCACCCTCAAATCCACTTTTTTTTGCTGATAAACTGTATAAATGAGTGTCCAATAGTGTTGTCTACATATCCTGGTCATATTTTTGTCACTTTGGTGCAAATTAGTTGAAAGTTAAACTTTCTGCCTAAAACCGTCTGTGAGGCGCCATCTGCTGGCGACCTGTATTACTACATTTTAATTTTGAATCTGGCGCCAACACTGGCGCGGCAGCAAGACCTGACGTCTGAAGCAAGACCTGACGTCTGAAGCAAGACCTGACGTCAGCAGCCCCCCGCCCAGAGCTATGTAAACGGCCCAGTCTCGTTCACGCCCCCTTTAGTCCTCCAGGCTACGCCCATTTAGAGGAAGATTTGAACAGGAAATGTGAGTGACGTAAGCTCCGAGGAGCGGGGGTGAGAACTACTTTAAGTAGACAATATGTGGCCTGCCATGAACGAGCCAGGAACAAGTCTGCCATGCGTAAACTGCACAAATTGACAGAGAAGCCTTTGTTTGCAGAAAGTTTAATTACCTGTACAAGTGTGTCACAATACTTCTCCAACACACCGGCTGCCGAGATCTGAATGAATAAAGATTATATATTGAATAGTGAAACGCCCCCATCTAGTGGTAGAAATGGGAAATACATTTTATTTTATTTTGTTATAAAACACATGGGTCCAGTTAGGGCTGGGCGATTTTGCCTAAAAAAAAAATCTCCGATTTTTAAAAGAGAAATTCAAGTTTCGATTCGATTTTCGATTTTTTTTTTCCCAATGCACTTAAAAATGACTGGAGACATCAGATATATTGTCAAAAGTGCAAATTTATTGCTGTGATTGTCCTCAAGAGTTAAAATGCAAGTAAATGAGGCTCTGTTATTCAACAATTTCAAGCTTTAACCCAGGTTTAAGCAAAGGTGCAACATCAACTTCACAGTAGCTTACATTTTCTGATTAAGAAATCAGATAACTACATATTTTGTAACGTATAACATTACAATAAAAAAATAAAATAAACTCTTCTCTTAGCCTCTCAGCATAATGTGAATATAAAAAAAAATAAACATGCCTGTGGCAGACAAATAGCTACTAACTAACTACTTATCAAAGGATAAACAAATGTAAACTTTTATCTTTAACAACAAAACATTAGATCTCTGAAATATTGTGCATGCTCATTCTAAGCATTTTTTGCAAGAAAGATGAGCCTGTCCACAACCACAGGTCCGTGGTGGCTGAGTAAAACGTCATCTCCCCCAGCTCACCGCGAATCTTTTCACGAGTTGTATTGTACAGGTGAGGCAGCGCTACATCGGCGAAATACTTGCGACTGGGGACAACGTACTGTACCTCGCATCTAATACTTTTAACAAGCCCCCCCTGTTAAAACCCCCCCGGGGGGTCGCGGGAACCCCTGGGGGGGTTGCATGATGATTTGTACACAAACAAAAAAAAAAGATTTTTTTTTTTTTGAGCAAATATAAAGCCCTTAAATATTTATTTAGCATTTGATTTGATTCAAAAGGACTACTTGTTAAATTGTGTTTGGAGACTATAATATATTTTAATAACGTTAGTAATTTTGTCCCAGTCATTGCAGCGTCAATCAAAATCATCACGTAACACAGCTCACATCATGCGCAGCGACAAAGCGTGTCCTGCTGTTGTTTGCTAAAACTAAAGGTGTTTGGAGGCTACAAATAAATAATACCTGCTTTAAAATGAAACGTGGTTAATATCCACAACAGAAAAACCCGGAGGGGGAGAAAAGTCACTTGTATCAGGGGTCAGGCTGGTGATGCGAAGAGAGGGAGAGAGGGCAGCGGAGGGAGAGAGGGCAGCGGAGGGAGGGAGGACAGCGGTAGAACAGCGCGTTAAAGAGGCCCGGCTTTTCGGAGTCAAAGGTAAAGAGGTCCGCACATTAAAAGCGGGTGGCCGGTCTATGCCTTTACTGACAGTAACTTTGGAAAGAGAAGCCGCGGGGATGAACCGCATAAAGTAACAGCAGAAAGCGGCCGCCCGCTTTTAATGTGCGGACCTCTTTACCGCTGACTCCGGAAAGCCGGCCCACTTTACCGCGGTAGGAGAACAGTGAGGGCGAGCCGCAAGAAATGCGCTCCACTTCTGCTGAGGAGGGTTAGCAGGGCATTTATGATGGGGGTCGCGGGCTGAAAACTTTGGGAACCCCTGCTCTACTACACGCTGCCATTCTTGTTTTGACTGTGTTTACGCGGCGGAGGGGGCTGGCTCATAACGCTCTACGGTAACCCACAAGGACGAAACGCAAAAAACTCAGAAAAAAAATTTGGTGAAAAAAAAACTCGAGTTTGCAAAATAAAAATCCTTTTAAGCTACAAAATCGATAAATCGATTAAATCGATTTTTTGCCCAGCCCTAGGTCCAGTAGGGCGGGTCTAATTGAAGCCATTCAATTTGAATAAAACTTAATCACTTCACTGATAATACAGAAGGGGCTAAAACAACTCCAGGTCATTTTTTCATGGGGGGGGGGAAATGGATCAAAAGTATGACCACTGAAACAGACTGATGGCTTTTCTTTTGCAGCCTCTGTTGGACATCGGCCTGTACATCTTCAAACTCACAAGTGCCATTGGAGCTCAGGTATGTGTTCTATAGTTGTATATTATTCAAACACCACATCTTGATTAAGTAACTCCTATCATAGTGATGTTCCACCCTGTTGTACTGTATGTGGTTCCATCTTATTGACGTGTGTGTCTCGTCTGTCAGGGCCCTGCAATCATGATGGCCTACCTGCTGATCTCAGGTCTGTTCCTGACCCGGCTGAGGAGGCCCATAGGCAAGATGACCGTCAGCGAGCAGAGATACGAGGGAGAATACCGCTACGTCAACTCCCGCCTCATCACCAACAGGTGACATCACTATTCGCACACGCATCATTCTGTCCGCGTATCAGACCGACTCTGTCAAGAGTTCACATTAGAGCTGTCACCTTTCTTTTACATATACAATATATCTACTCAGTTTGACCCAGATAAAGCTTAAGGGTGTTTCCAGACCTGTCCACTTTAAACGAACCAGGATTCGTTTGGAACTCTCATCCGAACCTTTTATGCAGGTCTGAATACACACAAACGAATCCTGGTCCGGACCCAAGAACTGGACCGAGACCCACTTTTTTAGGTGGTCTCGGTCCGCTTCCAAACGAACTCTGGTCCAATTCGATTCAGGTCTGAATTCAACCAGTGTCGATCCGACACAACTCCAAGATATGTGCAAATTTTTTGGGCTTAACAAGCCACCGTAGACAGGAACTGTGAGGAATTAGCCACGCGTCACAGCTGCTAACGCTACACAACAACAATGAGCCGTGGGCAGACCTGGAGCAACGAGCAGACACTGTGCAACAGGCCATTGGAGTTAAAACTTTTCACAGTATACAGTGATGTTAATGGCAGCATCTTCAAATCATTTGCATTATTAAGCCTCACGTGTTTGACTCGCGTCTCAAAAAGCAATATCCCGTATCATGTAGTGAATTGTGTTCTGTGACTAATACCTGATCCTCCGTCTTCTGTTTATCCCGTTGTTATAGATCCATGGTTTAGCCACAATACTGCTGTCAGTATGTTGTGGGACAGGGTTATTATTAAAGATCCATGGATAGGCAGGGCACGTAGCGCACAGTCTCCTTTGGCTTTCTTCTCACGCATTCGCCGACGCTGTTTCAAAATTAAAAAACAAAACGTTTTGCCTGTGTCGGATGAGCTGCTGTTGATGGTGAAGGTGATTTTGCTCTAAAAAGAGCAAACATAGGCAGAGCAGACATGCAGCACGTATGAGCCGGTACGAGATCTATATTTTCCTCCATATCTGCATCTATTCTCCGTGAGCTCTTGCTGTCCATTAGGAGCGCCGATCGTAACACGCGTTGATATGTTTATAAAAATAGTTCACTTGCGAAAAGTACAGTCTGAATACGAACCTGAGCAAAAGAAAAATGTTTGCTCCGCTTTTGGTTCGTACCAAGCAAGCGTAGCAAAGGACTTTTCTGGTCTGAATACACCCTAAGAAAAGCCAACGGAGAACAGAACAGATCTGCTCTGTACAAATGCGACTCCGGTTGTTTGTTTTACGTGGTCCTAAATCTCGGCAGTACTAGATCTTTTTCAATGCGACTTCAGTCTGAGCCGTGAGGCCACAATTATACGAGCTGTATCCGACCTGAAGCTGTATTTCCATTGAGCAGAAGCTGCATGAATGTTGGAAAAGTGGCAACGAGGTGTGGGAGAAATACATATACTCGAAACTCCCATAAGTTTATCAATGTTTCGAGATAAAAGATCAAATGCAAAGTTCTCTTCAAGCGTCCACAAATGAGTAGTTATGTATTTAAATACAATGTAGTTGAAATGTAGTTATGTCAGGGGGAACGTGGATCCGTTCAAATCCCTGCAGGCTCTGCTCAGACCACAAAGCGTGTTGGTGATTTTTGTTGTGTATTTGTGTGCAGTGAAGAGATCGCCTTCTACAACGGGAACTTGCGCGAGAAGCAGACCATCCACAGCACCTTCAAGAAGCTGGTACGTCCTGGCCTCTGGTTTCTACTCACAGACCTCAGAGTTGCAATTATTGTGTAATGGTAACTGACATAAAAAACATATTTCTCAACAAAAAACTGTATGCCCAAAATGGTAAGTGTGACAGTAAGAGCCAGAGCGAGATGGAGCAAAACTTCGCCCATGAGCACTTTCCTATTGGGAGCCAGCGGGTTAGCACTGTCCATCTATATACACTCTGTTTCTTCTGAAATAGAACATCAAAACATCAAAATAACATGCCTAAAGAAAAACAAATTATCTTATTTCCATCAGAAAAAGAGAGTCTGAGGCACTCGGTTGAAGTGAAAAAAATTGTAAAAGTTATTTACATTTGCCTTTATTAAAATGGACTGCCTACGCGTTTCGACCAAAGCGGTGTTTTTGGACAAAGAACCCTAAAGATATAAAAACAAAATTTTGTGTCAAGAATCAACAAGTGGGACACAATCGTGAAGTGGAACGAAATTTATTGGATAATTTCAACTTTTTTAACAAATAAACTGAAAAGTGGGGCGTGCAATATTATTCGGCCCCCTTGCGCTAATACTTTGTAGCGCCACCTTTTGCTGCAATTACAGCTGCAAGTCGCTTGGGGTTTGTCTCTGGAAAAACACCTGGATATGTCTATTTGTGAACCATTCCATTGTAGATTTGGCTTTATGTTTTGGATCATTGTCCTGTTGGAAGATAAATCTCCGTCCCAGTCTCAGGTCTTTTGCAGACTCCAACAGGTTTTCTTCCAGAATGGTCCTGTATTTGGCTCCATCCATCTTCCCATCAATTTTAGCCATCTTCCCTGTCCCTGCTGAAGAAAAGCAGGCCCAAAGCATGATGCTGCCACCACCATGTTTGACAGTAGGGATGGTGTGTTCAGGGTGATGAGCTGTGTTGCTTTTACCCAAACATATCGTTTTGCATTGTGGCCAAAAAGTTCGATTTTGGTTTCATCTTACCAGAGCACCTTCTTCCACATGTTTGGTGTGTCTCCCAGGTGGCTTGTGGCAAACTTTAAACAAGACTTTTTATGGATATCTTTGAGAAATGGCTTTCTTCTTGCCACTCTTCCATAAAGGCCAGATTTGTGCAGTGCACGACTGATTGTTGTCCTATGGACAGACTCTCCCACCTCAGCTGTAGTTATCTGCAGTTCATCCAGAGTGATCATGAGCCTCTTGGCTGCATCTCTGATCAGTCTTCTCCTTGTTTGAGATGAAAGTTTGGAGGGACGGCCGGGGTCTTGGTAGATTTGCAGTGGTCTGATACTCCTTCCATTTCAATATAATTGCTTGCACAGTGATCCTTGAGATGTTTAAAGCTTGGGAAATCTTTTTGTATCCAAATCCGGCTTTAAACTTCTCCACAACAGTATCTCAGACCTGCCTGGTGTGTTCCTTTGTCTTCATGGTTCTCTCTGTGCTTTAAACAGAACCCTGAGACTATCAAAGAGCAGGTTCATTTATACGGAGACTTGATTACGCACAAGTGCATTCTATTTATCATCATCAGTCATTTAGGACAACATTGGATCATTCAAAGATCCTCACTGAACTTCTGGACTGAGTTTGCTGCACTGAAAGTAAAGGGGCCGAATAATATTGCACGCCCCACTTTTCAGTTATTTATTTGTTTAAAAAGTTTAAATTATGCAATAAATTTCGTTCCACTTCACGATTGTGTCCCACTTGTTGTTGATTGATGACAAAAAATATTTTTTTATATCTTTGTTTGAAGCCTGTTCGAGAATACTTTCGCAAGGCACTGTATCTTTTGTTTGCTCTTACTACTGTCCTGTATGTGTGCTGCAATATCAAAAGTTCCCCTCTGTGGGATGAATAAAGGTTCTCTAATCTGAACAATAAATTATTTAATAAGTCGAGGCTTAGAGTTTGTTTTTTTGCCATGTGTGTGTGCAGGTGGACCACTTACACGCCTTCATCTTCTTCCGCTTCTCCATGGGCTTCGTGGACAGCATCATCGCCAAATGTAAGAATCCTCATGTTTTTCATCCAGCAGAGCGCTGGTCAAATAAAGGCCCAGAGGTTTGCTAAAGATGTTTATAATGCGAACAACAAATGCATGACTGGTCACTTTCTCACAATAGCACAGGTGGAAGTTGCAACAAAAAGTGCAAATATACAGCAAAATTATTCACCCCCCTTGGCATTTTGTGTGTTTTGTTGCCTCACAACCTGGAATTGACATGGATTGTTTGAGGATTTGCATCAGTTAATTTACAGAACATGCCCACAACTTTGAAGACGTTGTCTTTTTTTATTGTGAAGCAAACAACAAATAGGACAAAATAAAAGGTCAATGTGCATAACTATTCACCCCCCTAAAGTCAATACTTTGTAGAGCCACCTTTTGCGGCAATCACAGCTCCAAGTTGCTTTGGATAAGTCTCTATGAGCTTGCCAGATCTTACCACTGGGATGTTTGCCCATTCCTCCTTGCAAAACTGCTCCAGCTCCTTCAAGTTGGATGGTTTGCGCTCGTGAACAGCAATCTTAAGTCTGACCACAGATTGTCTATTGGATTGAGGTCTGGGCTTTAACTAGGACATTCCAACACATTTACATGTTTCCCCTTAAACCACTGTGTTGCTTTAGCAGTGTGTTTGGGGTCATTATCCTGCTGGAAGGTGAACCTCCGTCCTAGCCTCAAATCACGCACAGAGTGGTACAGGTTTTGCTCAAGAATATCCCTGTATTTAGCACCATCCATCTTTCCCTCAACTCTGACCAGTTTCCCAGTCCCGGCTGCTGAAAAACATCCCCACAGCATGATGCTGCCACCACCATGTTTCACTGTGGGGATGGTCTTCTTTGGGTGATGTGATGTGTTGGGTTTGCGCCAGACAAAGCGTTTTCCTTGATGGCCGAAAAGTTCAATTTTAGTCTCATCAGACCAGAGCACCTTCCTCCATATATTTTGGGAGTCTCCCACATGCTTTTTCGCAAACTCAAAACGTGCCATTTTGTTTTTTGCTGAAAGTAATGGCTTTCTTCTGGCCGCTCTGCAATAAAGCCCAACTCTATGGAGCGCATGGCTTATTGTCGTCTTATGTACAGATACTCCAGTCTCTGCTGTGGAACTCTGCAGCTCCACCAGGGTTACCTTAGGTCTCTGTGCTGCCTCTCTGATTAATGCCCTCCTTGCCCGGTCCGTGAGTTTTGGTGGGCGGCCGTCTCTTGGCAGGTTTGCTGTTGTGCCATGTTCTTTCCATTTGGTTATGATAGATCTGATGGTGCTCCTGGGGATAATCACAGATTTGGATATTTTTTATAACCTAACCTTGACTTTGGATCTGAGTTTGCTTTGATCTGAGTTTGCTTTGACGTTTGTAATGTGCCCAAGTGAGTGAGACATTTAGCCTAGCTTTAGCCATCTCCTTTGCCACTAACGGAGCTCGTGGGGAGTAGAGCTACAACATATTTGCCAGCATGCTAAACATTCCTCTTGCTCCGGTTTCAATTTATTGATGTTTGGGGTCAAACCAGAACGGATTACTTTACTAGCGCATTCGCAGCCATTGCCAAACTGTCTGGTGGCACTCAGAAGGCACAGTATTGAGACTCACTGCTTTGTCTTCAGTTCTCAAAAATAAATCCATTGTGCTCATGAAAATGCCATGAAAATAAAGGAAATAGTTTAATTTCAATTGAAAAAGTCTGTGTAAATAGTTCATAAATAGAACAAAGTTGGCAAACACAAGAAAATATTTCAGTAAAATTATATTTCAGAAACATAACATCAGAGTGTACTTTAGAGACGTGCATTCTAATCTGTCATGCACTTAAAAAGACCATGTTTCATAGATGTTTGGCTATTTTTCTCCCGCAGACATAGCCACAGTGGTGGGCTACCTTGTGGTGAGTCGGCCCTTCCTGACCTTGTCGGACCCTCGGCACCTGAACAAGTCTCAGTCTGAGCTACTGGAGGTAGGCACAATCTAAGAGACGTGCTAACAGACAGGCTAACAAATGTTGTTTACAGCAGAGTTAGATTTCACTGTCCCTATGTGTGTTGTAGGACTACTACCAAAGCGGGCGCATGCTGCTAAGGATGTCCCAGGCTCTGGGCAGGATCGTTCTGGCCGGACGAGATATGACCCGCCTCTCAGGGTAAGCAGAGGCCTCCCTTCATTGTGGAACACTGTGCAAGTGTCTGCTAGAACTGTCACCATGTGATATGTTGAAAACACATCTATTAATGCAGAGATCCATTTAAACTGCCGACTTCCCTTTCCATACACACTCCTGCTCACCTGGGGTTATCCTGAGGGTTCCCAGGGCATCTGAAAGACTCCAGTATGTCCTGGGACTCACCCAGGTCACCTCCCGAGGAAGGTGTCCAGAAGGCATCCAAACAAAAGCCTCCTTTCTCCTCCTCAACTGGTTCCTACTGATGTGAAGGAGCAGCAGCTTTACTCCAAGCTCCTCCCTTGTGTCTCAACTCCTCTCCCCAACTTCAGTGCAGTGTTCAGACGCTTGTATCTTGTCTTTGGATTGTTGAGAGTGCGGACGTAGATTGAGCAGTTCTACAGAGCTTAGGAAGACCTACACTAGTCCTTCAATCCTCTTTTTGATCACACAACAGCGTTCTGACATTTGCCAAAGTGCACAAAAACAAACTGTTGGTCAAACATGTTCCTTGACGACTTCTCTCTTGCTCAGGTTCACAGCCCGGATCACAGAGCTGATGAAGGTGCTGAAGGAGCTGAACGCAGGCAGATACGAGCGCACCATGGTCCAGCAGGACAAAGGTACCACACTCTCTCTCACACACACACACACATACACACACACAGGTGCAAGTGTGAAGCCTCTGACTGAACTCTTTCCTAGACTCGGACTTGTCTCAGAAGATGGTGCTGGTGCCAGGCAACGGGCGAGTCATCAACGTGGATAACATCATCAAGTCGGTTTGGCTTTACACGTCTACACCATTACTACACACAGTACCCCACACAGTACCCCACACAGTACCCCACACAGTACCCCACACAGTACCACACACAGTACCCCACACAGTACCCCACACAGTACCCCACACAGTACCCCACACAGTACCCCACACAGTACCACGCACAGTACCACGCACAGTACCACACACAGTACCCCACACAGTACCCCACACAGTACCCCACACAGTACCCCACACAGTACCACGCACAGTACCCCAGGAAAATAACTTGGATCTAATTACTTTAAACGTTTTTTGTTTCTTTTTGACTGATGGGTTCCGTGATGGCACTGTTTAGACAGATTTTTTAATGGAATTTACGAGCATTGATCAGCTTTTTGTTGTAATGAATTAACCAAGAAGAATAATGAAGAATGGTTCATAAACTGGAATAAAGTCACCGATAGAAGGAATTTGTGGAATGTCTCACACTCTTGGAGGTTAGGGTTGGAATGTTCCAGAGTTTGGCATTAACGTTATTTTACTTCTTGCCTCATACAGGTTTGAGCATACGCCATTAGCCACGCCCAATGGAGACGTCCTCATCAGAGACCTCTCGTTCGAGGTACACCTGCTGCTTCTCTGACATCTCTTGTGCTACTCGTGTGGTCGTGGCAAAATGTCTGCGATTCCATGTTTGTGTGCTTAAAGACCTTATGACGGGTTTTAAAAAAAAAAATAGTGGATATCAAAATAGCATGACAATGTCAATTTGAAAGAGATTCCGGCAAAAAAAATCCTATATTTTATAAAAAGAACGTGTTTTTCATGAATTTAAGTTGTCTATGCTCTAACCTGTGTGTGACGTCACAGCGGGTTACGCCCATGCATTGAAAACCATGGATCTATGCCACAGGACTGCCTTTTCTCTCTTCTCTCCACTGATGCCCAACACAATACTGCCCTCTACAGGTGACAATTGCTCACTACACATAAATTGCCGTTTTGAGTGTGAAAAACTGTCCTAGGTGAGATTTGAACCCCAGTATCTGGATTGGCAGTCCATCGACACAACCACTGGACTATCTCAGTGACAACGAATTGAAACATTCTAGTACATATCTCACACTCGCTGTACACGGCCTTGTCATCTTGAATATCCGCGAAAAAAGAACGAATACCAAATTGTAAACAACTTACAGCGTTGAAACGTACCCGTTCTGACGTCACCAAGGGCTGTGAAGTTTTTTCGTTTCTAAGGGCGTTGCTATGGGGTTATTTTGATTTGGGGGGATCAGACAAAAAAAACAACTGATTTTGAAACCTTTAGTAGTTCTCTTCTAATATAAAATGGTATTAAAACTGTATTTCTAAATAAATCAAACCCGTCATAAGGTCTTTAAACGTCACACAATCGAACCTGTTTGGTGCTTTCACTGCTGGGTTTTTGCAGCTTTTTTCCGCAGAATAACTCCAGATACTTTGTCAAACGCAAAGGACTAAAGCCTGGTTTATATTTCTCTGGAAAGTAGAGCCCTCTGGTCAATGACTGTATTTTAATATGTAAGTTATGAATGTATTGTCAAGGACCACAGATGGAAGGTAGTATGGAGCTAAATCGGGCGCAGCAGTCTTTTTAACGTAACTTCACATGGTCCTTAATAGATTAAACATAAACTTAAACTTGAAATTCCTCTGATTAAAATCAACAAACCAATTAAATCAGCTATCCCCTAATTCAGGGGTGTCTAAACCGGTCCAGAAAGGGCCACTGTGGTTGCACGTTTTCTATCAGACCCAACAGGAGCAGAGCAGACTCCTCCCATTTCCTCAAGTGAGTTCAGTCTTAACCTGAAGATTTGAGGAAATGGGAGGAGTCTACTCTACACCGGTGCTGGGTCTGACAGAAAACCGGCAGCCACAGCGGCCCTTTCTGGACCGGTTTGGACACCCCTGCCCTAATTAAAACATTGGTCCTCATCTAAAGTTTTTTGTCCCCTCGTTCCTTTTGTGTCAAAGCTTCGGGAGGGAAACGTGGAAGTTGGATCCAGTCTCCACTAGTTTCATTGTTGAAGTGTTGTTTTTCAGGTGAGGTCTGGTACTAACGTGCTGGTGTGTGGGCCAAACGGCTGTGGGAAGAGCTCCTTGTTCAGAGTGCTCGGAGAGGTCAGACACACCAAACACACTTTTAAATATACATTGCATACTGTTGTGGAAGACAGTTGGTAAAATGAGGGCCGTGGAGAGTTTTGTGGCCTTGTACCTCAGGATAGGTTTCACAAACAAGGATTCAAATTTTGTTGGCACATCAGCATCATATTAGTATAAGGTCTTTAAAACGAATGTGCAATAAAAATGCATCTGGTCCGGAGAATTTTGCACATTTAATGCCCATAATCCACAAAAGTAGCAACTTCCTCCAAGTCCGTCTATATGTTCTGACTTTATTCTTGTAAATAATTTTTTAGTTACGACATTAATCTTGTAAATAAGTAATCTAAGATGGAAGTATTTCTTTAACCATTTTACATATTTGTCACAATGAAAAGTAGAAAGTACATGGATAGTCTTTTAATCATGATATGCTGAAGTAGATATTGGATTATGTTCATAGATGACTATTTGTTCAGTAATGTTTGTGTATCCTATTAATTCAACCTGTCAAATAATGCTTTCTGAGTAGTTTTGACTCCATATACAGCAGTATACAAGTGTTAACTAGCGTAAAGGCCTCCCCACAACCAGGACGTAAAATAATGAATGTACGACACAAAACATCCAAACTGTCACCAGTCGTGTACTGAGTCTGTGGCTGAAGCACTGACCTGTCTCTCTTCCTCAGCTTTGGCCTTTGTTCGGTGGAGAGCTGACCAAGCCAGAGAGGGGCAAGCTCTTCTACGTGCCACAGGTAACACACACACACTCATAAACACGCCCACAAACACATGTACATACACGTACACACACTCATAAACACGCCCACAAACACATGTACATACACGTACACACACTCATAAACACGCCCACAAACGCATGTACATACACGTACACACACTCATAAACACGCCCACAAACACATGTACATACACGTACACACACTCATAAACACGCCCACAAACACATGTACATACACGTACACACACTCATAAACACGCCCACAAACACATGTACATACACGTACACACACGCACACACACTCATAAACACATGTACATACACACACACACGCATAAACACGCCCACAAACACATGTACATACACACACACACGCATAAACACGCCCACAAACGCATGTACATACACGTACACACACGCACACACACTCATAAACACATGTACATACACACACACACGCATAAACACGCCCACAAACACATGTACATACACACACACACACTCATAAACACGCCCACAAATACATGTACACACACAAACACACGACTGTGGATTATTAATAAGTCTTAATAAGTACTTAATAAGTATGTCTTTCGGTATAGTATATAGAACTACAATATTAAACAATGGATACATTTAACGCCCGATTAATAATTCATTTTATTTCATGGCGCCTTTCAAGACACCCAAGGACGCCTTACAATAGATTAAAAAACATCACACTCATTATTAAAAGTACAGAATATAAAACATTATATAATTACAAAGAAAAAGCCAGTTTAAAAAGGTAGGTTTTGAGATGTGATTTGAAAATGTCCAAATGGTCTTCAGAGTTTAGGGGCAGAGTAGCAGAATGCTCTGGCCCCCATCGTAGAACATTTGGGAAAAAACGGTAGTGTGCCGCAGCTTTAATTCAACAGCTACTTTGTTAGGTTTAAAATGTCTTGTTCCGTTGGCCTGTGTTTGCGTCAAATGTAATTGAAATGATGTGAAGTCTTGTAATATTTGCAGAGGCCGTACATGACGCTGGGCTCACTCAGGGACCAGGTCATCTATCCAGACACACATGAGCAGCAGAGGAGGAAGGGCATCTCCGACCAGGTACTATACACACATCATGTACACACACACACACACACACACACACACACACACACACACACACACACACACACACACACACACACACACACACACACACACATGATGTACGACACATGCCTACACCAGGTACTACACACACATGCATACACCAGGTACTACATACACATCATGTACTACACACACACACACACACACACATCATGTACGACACACATGCATACACCAGGTACTACACACACACATCATGTACTACATATACACATCATGTACTACATACATGCATTCACCAGATACTACACACACACACACACACACATCATATACTAGACATACACTAGGTAATACACACACAAACCGCGTACAACACATAGATCATACATCAGCGTGCAGAAGATGGTGGATGCCGTCTCCTGACGTCCCCACAAAGCCTTAAAACTGTAAGTGTGTGTGTGTGTGTGCAGGTGCTGAAGGAGTACCTGGACAATGTGCAGCTGGGACACATCCTGGACAGAGAGGGAAACTGGGACGTGGTGCAGGACTGGATGGACGTGCTGAGTGGGGGAGAGAAGCAGAGGATGGCTGTAAGCACATACACACACTTGTCATTAAGACTTGTGACGAAAGACTCATTGTGACATAATACGTTTTTTCAATGTGATCTGTTGAACAGGTGTTCTTTTTTTCTCGTACTGCATTGTAAGAGTAAAGTCCTCAATAAAGTTAATAAGTCCAATATTAACAGCAGCACATTCTTTGGCTTGGACGTGGTAAAGCTACAGAAAGCCTTTGTCAGACTGCCCTCAAGCAGACACGCTGACTTTACATGTGGGAGTGTATAAGTCTTTCATGAATCTCTCTAAAAACAACTTTTGAATCTGTAAATGACAATCAACTAGAACAGAATTTATGAAAGTCCTATTTACAATTTCTGTGCCCGTCATAATGCAGATTTGTGTGCCGTTGTGTGTCATTGTGCAGATGGCTCGTCTGTTCTACCACAAGCCTCAGTTTGCCATCCTGGACGAGTGCACCAGCGCCGTGAGTGTAGACGTGGAGGACTTCATCTACAGCCACTGTCGCACGGTATGCACCACATCAGTACTCTGATGCAGTAACATACACAGTAACATGTATATGACAGGTGTGTGTGTCTGTCCACAGGTGGGCATCACGCTGTTCACAGTGTCCCACAGAAAGTCCTTATGGAAGCACCACGAGGTGAGTCCTTATGCACGGATTACTAATGTGTGACTAATGACTTATTTTCAAAAGAACTTTCCCAACACTGTTTCAACATGAGTTTTTTCCCAGTAGCTTTAGTCGTGCACATGTTGCTCTTGTTGCTCTTGATGGTGCACAAAGCATCGTTCAGAGTAGTGTTGTCAAGAGGCATGTCAGGTACAGTCAGCACAGGTCCAGGGCGCAGGCGGGGACCAGGGCGCAGGCGGGGACCAGGGCGCAGGCGGGGACCAGGGCGCAGGCGGGGACCAGGGCGCAGGCGGGGACCAGTGCGCAGGCGGGGACCAGGGCGCAGGCGGGGACCAGGGCGCAGGCGGGGACCAGGGCGCAGGCGGGGACCAGGGCGCAGGCGGGGACCAGGGCGCAGGCGGCTCGCTGAGTGTGTGTGGCAGTACTCGCCACAAACACATCAGAAATACAGAGGGAATCAGAAATACAGAGGGAATGCAGTAATTTAAGTTACTGCATTGACTTAAATACTGTCTCTTAAGTCAATGCAGTAAGAGACAGAATTTTTTTTTTATCTGTTAATGTATTTAATTTTGTGATGAGCTGATTCAGTAGCAGTTACGTGGTTTAAAGGATGGGCATACATAAGCATTGCTTCAGCCTATTCCTTTTTTGGTTGAAACTTTTTTGTTGTTGTTAACATTATTGTTTGTAAATTGTATTGATTTAAATGCAACAATCAACCAAAATAAAGCATTCATTCAGCTGGATGATGGAGCAGAAGACGCCCATGTCTCCTCCTGACGCTTCATCTTGTACTTTGCCCAAAACTAGAGACTAAAGATGTGATCAGTCTCATCTGAGGAACGTTTAGGTATTTTAGGGTTAATTGAACACTATATTTGTATGATGAAAACACTAGCTCATCTAAACTCACATTATTTTTTGAGTTTTGAAAATGGAAAAAAAAATGAAAATTGTCTGATTTAATTTCATATTTAAAGATGTATAAACTTAGTTATAATAATTTGCACTATAATTTTAAACTGCAAACCTCCATAGACTTGGACTTGACTTTGGACTCCTGGGTTAGACACTTGGACGTGCGAGACAGGAGACTAATGACTGAGTGTGATTTACAGGGTTATGACTTAATTCTGTTTGATAAGATGATGCTGTCAGAGATTACAGGAGAGTAAGAGTGTGTCTTGTGTCTGTGTGCAGTACTACCTCCACATGGACGGCAGGGGCCACTACGACTTTAAGCCCATCACAGAGGAGACGGTGGAGTTCGGCTCCTAACGCTGTGTGCGTCCTGTCCGTTCATTTGCACTCTACATGTGGACAATAAAACCACATACTTTTTAATCCGTTCTACTGCGCTGAGTCAGTGTAGACCAATCATGAATCGGCCTCAGTCTTGTGGTTTGAGACTTCCACACTTGTACATTAACTGGACAGAAGGTTTCCATGGCAGTATGGGAAGCAGCTTCACTGGCTCATGATCCTTTTACCATCATCACTGCTGCACAGTAACTGTAACTGTTAGCTAAAAAGAGATTTGATTGCACAAAAATTCAGAACTCACTATGGGAGGGCTTGCGCCTTAACAAATCTGATACATCTTCCTGCTTGTTTTCATGGGAATGTCTTTCCTGACATTAGGCACTGAACTGATCTCTTTGTTTGGAATGTTCCGCATTATACCTTAAAGACAAAAATGAGAGATGTGTTTTCCCACTTGTACCATGTTTATCCCAAGGACCAGCCACCCAATATGTCTGCCCATTCAAAACAAAGGCCTGTGCTCATTGGATTAGGGTCTCACCCATAGACACCATGGCGGCTGGGATGCTAGCAGAAGTAACACATTCTGTCCAGCTCTCTGTCTTGTGCAGCAGTTGGTGGGTGTTCGCCTGAGCCTGTGGAAGTAGGTCTGTTTGTGAGCCTTCTGATCAATCAGTGCTTACTGTAGAGAGCAACACTTAGAATCATCCACGTTCTAAAGCAATAAATGCCAAGTTCAATATTGTCAAGATGTTTGAGGGTTAACATGAGCGACCCTAGTATAGAATCTAAAGAGGAGACCTCATCACGCGTGTTTAGTAAGAGCAGAGCAATCACAGCTTCAGTGTTCACCTCAGAATGGCTCATCCTGGAGGTATAAAGAGACTCGTGCCAATAATAATCTTCATCTTGTTTTTCAAACTGTTCTTTCAGAGTTCCTCAGTCTGATTTTTAGGATTGCCTATAACAGGTAGCAAGTAGCAAATTATGGAATTATGACCCATTATAACTGACCAATCAGATGGTTGGTCTGTTATAGTGGGTCATATCTGGATTTACAAAGAGCATATAAAGTAGAAATACATCATACAGGGAATTAATCCAGTTTTTAATCCCAAAAGGCTGAGTGTGACACAAACAGTGGTTGTTAGTCCGTGGGAGGCACTGTTCTTCCCCAGTCTGTGAGTATATATACAGTCTGTAGTCCTACAGTGTATATACAGTCTGTAGTCTTACAGTGTATGTACAGTCTGTAGTCATGTGTACAGTGTAGTCATGTGCGCTGGAAAAGAGGCTTTCTGAAGTTGCTACTGAATCATACTGCTTTGTGGAAACCAATGATGGAAGAAATGGGATTTTGTGGATGCAATTACTTTATAAATATTTAAATTTTTTAGTATTTTTTCTTAATTCTTGTAGTACTGTATTTTGGCAAATAGCTTGGGTTGAATACTGTCAAAAGAGATCTGCCCTATGAATTCATCTACATTCGCTTAATGAGGATATTTTTCTTACAGAATTGTGATTTGTTAATTTACAATTCTAACTTTTGGACATTCTAACCCCTGTGTCTCATGCTCCTGCTGAAATAATATTGGAAAGGCCACACACGAGGGATTATGGACTTCTTTTGAAGTTGTTTCTCCGAAGAATACTTTATTTATGTATCTTTATGTAATTGTAAATGACTGGGCTTTATGAAATGTTTGACAGTCCTCCGCACTATGTGTTCTAACCTTTTTGATTAGACTGAAATAAAATAAAAATGTTGATCAAAAATCTTTGGTTTAATTCCACCTTTAGACGTCTGTCTTTGTGGAGTATGTTCTCCCCGTGTCTGTGTAGGTTTCCTCCTGGTGCTCCGGTTTTCAAATTTCAATTCAATTTAATGTAATGGGCAATACAATTTAGGGATTGTATTGCCCTAAATTGCAACAGTCGTTATCTCGGAGGACTTTGCACAACCGTTTAATTCACCAACACGGATCAAAGAATCAAGCAGTTCAAACCTTGTGTATTTATTATATTATTCTGTTGTAAAATGTTATTGCTGGTTTTTGGAATAAACATAAATGAAAAAATAAAATATGTAAATACATAAATCATTAAAAAACACGAAACAATAACACATTGGTTCAGAAATGTTGAGTGTCCTGGATCATCACGACTGTCAGACCCTCCGGCGAGGAAACACTGTAAAACCCAGTGAGAAACCTCAGGGAGACCCACATTGAGAGAGGGATCCATTTCTACGAACGGACGGGCCGTTGTAGATCCAGGACTCAGGCTACAGATCGAGGACCAAAACCACAGGGCGCAGGACTCGAGTTGCAGAATGAGGAGAGACATGATCTAATCCATTCCACTTTATATAGTACATTTTATAAAACACATTTCCAAAGTGCTGCACAGATAAAAAGTAACACCAGCTTTAAATAAACAATTCAAATAAAATAAAAACAAATATCTACATGCATAAATTAACATAAAACAATAAAATAGAGGAACACACAACTCACGCGGCGTTAAAAACCAGAGCGTAAAAGTGGCTTTTAAATTAATATTAGATTTAAAACATCCCAATGAGGGAGCTCTCTTGACCGCTCCCAGTCCCCCAATATTTTATTATTAAAGCCAAAGAAGAAAATGCGTAACTGGAATGCCTAAATTCAATGTGCAAATATTCCATGAGCTCTGGCGCAGATTACGCCTTTTTCATTTGTTAGAACTTGGCCTGAGAAGCATTTCACGAGAAAAGAATATTTACTTAAGAATGAGATTTTTCATTCAATAAAGATTAAAAAATGTGTTTGTGTGGTTTTTTCCGTAAAGATTGTTTTTTTTTTTTTTACATAAACACATATGAAGTGTGTGAAGTGTACCCATAATCATACAAATGGTTAAACACAAAAACATACAGTGGGGAAAAAAAGTATTTAGTCAGCCACCGGTTGTGCAAGTTCTCCCACTTAAAATACTGACAGAGGTCTGTAATGTTCATCATAGGTTCACTTCAACTGTGAGAGACAGAATGTGAAAAAAAAATCCAGGAATTCACGTTTTAGGATTTTAAAATAATTTATTTGTAAATTATGGTGGAAAATAAGTATTTGGTCACTTCAAACAAGGAAGATCTCTGGCTCTCACAGACCTGTAACTTCTTCTTTAAGAAGCTCTTCTGTCCTCCACTTGTTACCTGTATTAATGGCACCTGTTTGAACTTGTTATCTGTATAAAAGACACCTGTCCACAGCTTCAAACAGTCAGACTCCAAACTCCACTATGGCCAAGACCAAAGAGCTGTCCAAGGACACCAGGAAAAGAATTGTAGACCTGCACCAGACTGGGAAGAGTGAATCTACAATAGGCAAGCAGCTTGGTGTGAACAAATCAACTGTGGGAGCAATTATCAGAAAATGGAAGACATACAAGACCACTGATAATCTCCCTCGATCTGGGGCTCCACGCAAGATCTCATCCCGTGGGGTCAAAATGATCATGAGAACGGTGAGTGGGAGAACTTGCACAATCGGTGGCTGACTAAATACTTTTTTGCCCCACTGTAAAAATAACAATTGTAAACCGCTTTGAGACTCCGATGTGCAGTGAAAAGGCGGTATATAAATAAAGCTTACTTACTACTGTAAATACACTCAAACATGCATACGAACACACACACAAATAGAATGTTTTGTCTATTGAATATTTGAAATTGAATTATTTTTACTGATGAATGTCTGCAAAAGGGATATTTACTTGTCCCACTTTCTTTACTTTGTGTAGGATCTGTTCAAAACACACTGGACATACTCAATTCAAATAAATGTAAAAATATATCTATACACATCCAAACACACACAGGACACTTGTTCATGTGTGTGACCGGTCACTGTTTGGTCAAAAGACCTGGAAGTCGTATGATGACGACGAGTTGGCTATGGTTGGTGAAGACAAATCTAAAATTTGCCACAACTTCAGTCTTCTTTGTTTTGGTTCCATTTTCCCTATAAAATAAATCAAACTGAGTGTTTGAGATTAAAGTATGAAGTGTAGCGGGCAAATAATCAAACCTCATTGTAACAATGTGAGGTTTGATTATTTCATATTTACCAGAAAATAACATTAAGTTAAAATCTGGTAAATATTTGTTCAACAGATAAATAATACTGGAGAGTTTTTATCAAATGTTGTTTAAAAAGTGCTTTTCATACAAAAGTGAAACACAAAGCGCATTGCAGGTGATTGCAGGCGGCACGGTGGCTGAGTGGATAGCACTCTCGCCTCTCAGCAAGAAGGTCCTGGGTTCGAATCCCGGTCGGACCAGGGCCTTTCTGAGTGGAGTTTGCATGTTCTCCCCGTGTCTGCGTAGGTTTCCTCCGGGTACTCCGGTTTCCCCTACCACTAAAAATATGTACAATAGTTCTGGCATGTGCCTCCTGTACTGGCCCCTCCCATCTCTGTGTGGAGTGAGAGACAAATGCCCAAAATTAACAATTGTAAACCGCTTTGAGACTCAGATCTGCAGTGAAAAGGCGGTATATAAATAAAAACGTACTTACTTACTTACTTACTATTACAAAATAATGTCCTTTGACCCGTTGCACACATTTTGAAAAGTGTAAACGCATAAGTGTTTGATTGACAGCTCTAGTTTCCTTTCAGTTTGATGTTTGTCACGAAGAGGAAGTGGCTCTACTGCTGTCTGTACTACTACTACTGCTGTAACTACTGCTGTCTGTACTACTACTACTACTGCTGTAACTACTGCTGTCTGTACTACTACTACTGCTGTAACTACTGCTGTCTGTACTACTACTACTGCTGTAACTACTGCTGTCTGTACTACTACTACTGCTGTAACTACTGCTGTCTGTACTACTACTACTGCTGTAACTACTGCTGTCTGTACTACTACTACTGCTGTAACTACTGCTGTCTGTACTACTACTACTGCTGTAACTACTGCTGTCTGTACTACTACTACTGCTGTAACTACTGCTGTCTGTACTATACTTGAGTACTACTACTGCTGCTGCTGCTGTTGTGAGCGTTCCCAGTCCTCTCAGCCATGTGGGGGCCTGTGCTGCTGGTGTCCTGCTGCTGGCTCCTGGGGGCCAATGCACAACCAGGTGGGCTCCTCTACTTTTTTTTCTCCTCACTTTATTGACAGACAGAGATCGGCAGAATATGAGAAGATGACATGGTTAGTGGTTGTGGATGAGTGAAGACATTTGCAGAAGAATGGCTTTAGTTGCATTCAAAGGAGTTTGTGTGTGTGTGTTTGTGTAAACACTTTATCAGCTCATGTGTGTATAGATCTCTTTTTTTGCATTTTTATTTCAAAAGAGTAAGCTCAGTTGTTGTCATGTAACCACAATTTGTTCTCCTATTCTCCAGTGGTCATGAAAGCATAAAAGTAAATAATTCATGAGTATTATAGTAAAAATAATCATGGTAATAATGTTTTTGACGTGGTCTGAGAGTGCGAACAGGAAACTGTGAAGCAGAGCTGCTCATGTGCTGCTGTCAGATAACGACTGCACAACACACTAAACCTGTGACAAACCTGTGACATGTGGCTCAGCGGGTTCTGCAGAAGGCAACACACCCTGAGGAAGGGAGAGCAGATCTGGCACCCGGCACTACGGCTGGGCGCTGCATTTGATTATGTTTATACAGTTTATATAAAGACAAAATATTGTACCATCAGACTTACATTCTTCTGTGTCTGAAAACTACAGTGACCATATGCATTCTTACATAACACTGGTGTGCCATGAAGAAATATTTCATCCATCCATCCATCCATTTTCTACCCTTTAATCCATTTCTGGGTCAGGGGGGCGGCAGTCAGAGATGCCACCCAAGTCTCATAGCACCAGCCCCTCACTGACTCTCTGCAGGTGGTGAGTCCACAGGAGGACGGCTGCTCTCTGACTGTGAGCATAGCCTTGATCTTTCAGTGGGGGCTTTGGGCAAAGTGGGGTTAAGTGTCTTGCCCAAGGACTCAACAACAGCAGTCATCAGTGGGAGTCGGTGGAGAAGGTGCAGAGGTGGGAATTGAACCCACGACCTCCTGGGCTTAAGGCCAATGCTCTACCAACTGAGCTACTGTCGCCCCAAAATATTTCATTTCACTTTTAAAAAACTATTTGTCAAGTTATGGATGACTTGCACAATGTATGCACGGAGAAAAACCAAATTCACATGTTTCTGTAATATGGTCCTTTTTAAAGTAATGCAAGTGATTAAAAAAAATTAACAAAGTATATAGTTACCATCAAATTAATTCCAAATCATTCTTTTAGTCATGACCCAAAGCTCAAGACCAGAGGTGAGGGTGGGAACGTAGACTGAGCGGTAGACCTAGAGCTTTCCTTTTGGACTCCCTCTTCACCACAGTCTGATACAGCTTTGACTGCAGACGCTGCTCCCTCTTCATCACAACAGTCTGTGTGTGTCTGTTTGTGTGTGTGTGTGACTGTGTGACTGTGTGTGTATGTAACAATCACTCCAATGCAAGACTCAAGTACATTGAGAGCAAGAAACAGCCAAGCTAATATCAAACGTGTATTTAGTCTTTCACACATGTACGCACTTGCTTCTCGTCTCTCAGCCTGATCCACGGGGAGAACATGCAAACTCAACTCAGTAAACACTTTCCTCCGGGTGCTTCGGTTTCAACAAAAACATGTACAGTAGCTCCTCTCTCTCAAGGCCAGGACACTCTTAAAAAAGAAATGTGTGGTTAAACAAATGTCAATAATCCAGCTGAGATTATGGTCTGTGAATTGTGCTATATACATAAAATTGACTGTTCTTACTGGTTTGAAAGCGATCCGTGTGTTTGTGGTGGGATGCAGAGGGCCTGAGCTTCGCCGTGGTGGCAGACTGGGGTGGTGTCTCCTTCCCCCCGTACTACACCCAGCACCAGGCCGCCGTGGCTGAGGAGCTGGCCAGCCTGAGTCAGGAGCAGGGCCTGGACTTCATCCTCAGTCTGGGGGATCACTTCTACATGGAGGGGGTCCGGGACGAGCACGACCCCCGCTTCAAGGTCAGTCCGGAGCAGGGCCCTTCCCCACACGGGGATTGCTTTTAATTCCATCTGGAGAGACTCGAACAGACAAAACATAGGTATTATTCGATTTTTATATTGGCTGATAATTAATCTGACGCCACATAAATTACACATATGACTCTGAGGACAATATTTCCAGGGTTACATTTATTGTAAAGAAATATGGTCAGGATTTGGCGTAATTATGAGATGAAATCTACGGGGTCTAAAAATGAGGCGGAGATGGGGAGGAGGAGGGTTGCAGCGTGAATGAAGCTGCTGCTTGGATGGAGCTTCCTCGCGATATGAAGCTGATGCGGGCAGTGCCTGATTGCAGTTAGGTGAGGAGCGTGAAGCAACAGTGGGAGGACTTTGAGCACTGTGTTCTTCCGGTCTTCCAGTCTGATTTTCAGCCTTAACTTCATTTATCCTGTCTTAGGGAAACTGGTTGAAAAGCTCATGTCTCTTGTTTCTGAGTGGGCGGCACAGTGGTTAGCGCTTGTGCTTCACAGAAAGAAGGTCCTGGGTTCACTTCCACCACCAGGCCTTTCTGTGTGGAGTTTGCATGTTCTCCCTGTGTCTGCGTAGGTTTGCCCCAGATGCTCCGGTTTTCCCCTACCACTAAAATCATGTATAGGTCTGGCCTGTGCCCCCTGTATGGCAACCTCACTCCCATATGTGGAGTGAGAGACAAATGCCCACAACAGCTTTCTGTGAGCTCCAGATTTCCTCAGGGATGTATTTTTGAGTCCTTTGCTTTTTCCATGTACACTCATGTGTGTCTTCCTCTGACTCAAACTCGATCATCAGATTTGCCGATGACATCTCCATCATTTGTCTCATCAGCATTAATGATTAATCCTCTTATAGAGCAGAAATCCAAAATGTTGTTCACATCTAAACATGTGAACTTGCATTTGATTTTAGTCGTAACACTTCTTACATGCAGGCGACAGTGGCTCAGTTGGTAGAGCATTGGCCTTTGAGCCTGAAGGTCGTGGGTTTGAGCCCACCATGAGACCTTCTCCAACGACTCCCACTGATTACTGCTGCCGTTGTGTCCTTGGGCAAGACACTTAACCCCACATTGCTTGAAGCCCGCGCTGAAAGACCAAAGCTATGCCATAGAGCAGCCATCCTCCTGTGGACTAACCTCCTGCAGGAGGATCAGTGAGGGGCTGGTGCTATGTGTACTGGGTGGCACCTCTGGCCACCCCCCGACCCAGAAATGGATTAAGGGGCAGAAAATAGATGGATAATTGGACAGTTCTCACATGCCCAGTGTTATTGATAACTCCCAAGTGCAGATTGTAGAGGAGGGAAGTTTCTTGGCTTAACACAGTCTGATGACCTGAAATGGGACAAAAACGCTCAGGTTGTTAAGAAAGCTCGTTAGCGCCTCTTCTTTCGGCGCTAACTTTACCTCAAACTCTAAGATCCTGCTTCACTTTTATCGCTGAACCATTGACAGTTTGCTTCTTGGTTCTGTGTCTGTGTGGCTCGGTGACATCACAGACAAAGAAAGGAGAGCTATAAACAAGGTGCTCCGCTCTGAAAGAGGACTGTGAGCTGTGAGCTGCCTGTTCTGGAGGTTCTTAACGAATCCAGACTCTTAAATCCAGCTCTTTAAATAATCGATGACTCTTCTGGTTCCTGGGAAAGCCATGTTCCAGCTTCTTCCTTTAGGACATCTGGATTTGCTAACAGCTTCTTTCCACAAGCTGTAATCAGTCTGAACAAAGCACTTTAAGGCTATATCCACACGAAGACAAAACGCTTATAATTTCAGAAACTTTTTCTGTAAACACGGAGTTAGCTCAGTAAATGTGTGCGTCCATATGAATGTAGTCAATACGCCTGAAAACGCTGTGAAACTATGCCAGACCTGTTGGTGGCGCTGTGACGCAATGACGGGATCAAGCCCAAACTTCCGTGGGCATGAGCGGAATTTTGTAAACAGACAACATGGCGAGTGGGCGAGCTGGTACTACATTAGTATGGACGGACGATGAGGTTGAACTGTTGCTTCGGGTGACACTGGATTACAAAACCAACAAGCTACATTGTTGTTGTCATTATTTTCTGAGTGCGGCGCATGCTGCTTTAACAAGAGGCGGGGCGATGACGCAAGCGTCTCAGATACATTGCGGAGAGGCAGTAACCACGGAGCGGCATATACGGAGTTTTGAAATCTTTCCACTCTGGGACCTAGTTTCAAAAATGTTCGTTTACACCCCCCCAAAACGCCGGCCTCGTATGGACGACACACTGGATTGACAAAGTATTTTTGCGTTTAGGCCTGAGCTTGACTTCGTGTGGACAGGGCCTAAGCTCCTGGCACTTGTATTGAAACTGTTTTTGGTGATTGATTTCACAGTGACAATTGTTTCCTGAACTTTTTTTGCTTTATGTTTTTTTGCACATGTATTCCAATGGGGTTTTAGTGCAAACGGCAGATAATCTGAATCGGAATCTGAACATTGATCTAAAACAAATCTGGAACATCTGCCACAATCATGTCCATATTTGGGAATATCTCAGAGAATAAGAATGAACAGGGCTTGTTGCTGCTCATGGTTAGAGATTTTTCAAAGCCATTGACTCGCAAGGATGCTTCCCTGTGGTGCCAGTCCACACTAATGTCCCCCCGCCCCTTCTGTCTAAACGCTCTGAGGATCTTCTATTGTGTAATGAAAACAGTAAAGTCCAGAAAGAGCTATTTTTTGCCTTTTAAAACTAACTTTTTCCTTTACATTTGTTGTGGGAGTTTCTCTGGTCAAATGTAAACAGTGTGTCCTCAGTTAGGTCCCACCGTGTTAGATCTTTAATCTAATACATTCGTTTTCCTACTTCTACCACTAGAGGGGAGTCTTTCACTGAACCAGTATCCAGTATTTCTGTCGTGACAAATAATTTCACATTTTAGAACAGGAAATGCACAAATTCAGTAGGATGTGTGTTCTTTACATGTTGGGAGAGCATTCATGCGTCTCAAACAGTGGTCCTCTCACACACACATTGCTTCTCAAACTGTGGTCCTCTCACACACACATTGCTTCTCAAACAGCGGTCCTCTCACACACACATTGCGTCTCAAACTGTGGTCCTCTCACACACACATTGCTTCTCAAACTGTGGTCCTCTCACACACACTATGCGTCTCAAACAGTGGTCCTCTCACACACCTTGCTTCTCAAACAGTGGTCCTCTCACACACACATTGCTTCTCAAACTGTGGTCCTCTCACACACACCTTGCTTCTCAAACAGTGGTCCTCTCACACACACCTTGCTTCTCAAACAGTGGTCCTCTCACACACCTTGCTTCTCAAACTGCGGTCCTCTCACACACACATTGCGTCTCAAACTGTGGTCCTCTCACACACACATTGCTTCTCAAACTGTGGTCCTCTCACACACACATTGCGTCTCAAACAGTGGTCCTCTCACACACCTTGCTTCTCAAACAGTGGTCCTCTCACACACACATTGCGTCTCAAACTGTGGTCCTCTCACACACACATTGCTTCTCAAACTGTGGTCCTCTCACACACATTGCTTCTCAAACTGTGGTCCTCTCACACACATTGCTTCTCAAACTGTGGTCCTCTCACACACACTATGCTTCTCAAACTGTGGTCCTCTCACACACACATTGCTTCTCAAACTGCGGTCCTCTCACACACACATTGCTTCTCAAACTGTGGTCCTCTCACACACATTGCTTCTCAAACTGCGGTCCTCTCAAACACACATTGCTTCTCAAACTGTGGTCCTCTCACACACATTGCTTCTCAAACTGCGGTCCTCTCACACACACATTGCTTCTCAAACCGTGGTCCTCTCACACACATTGCTTCTCAAACTGCGGTCCTCTCACACACACATTGCTTCTCAAACTGCGGTCCTCTCACACACACATTGCTTCTCAAACTGTGGTCCTCTCACACACATTGCTTCTCAAACTGTGGTCCTCTCACACACACTATGCTTCTCAAACTGTGGTCCTCTCACACACATTGCTTCTCAAACTGCGGTCCTCTCACACACACATTGCTTCTCAAACAGTGGTCCTCTCACACACACATTGCTTCTCAAACTGTGGTCCTCTCACACACATTGCTTCTCAAACTGTGGTCCTCTCACACACACTATGCTTCTCAAACAGTGGTCCTCTCACACACACATTGCTTCTCAAACTGTGGTCCTCTCACACACATTGCGTCTCAAACAGTGGTCCTCTCACACACACATTGCGTCTCAAACTGTGGTCCTCTCACACACATTGCTTCTCAAACTGCGGTCCTCTCACACACACATTGCGTCTCAAACTGTGGTCCTCTCACACACACATTGATTCTCAAACAGTGGTCCTCTCACACACACATTGCTTCTCAAACTGTGGTCCTCTCACACACACCTTGCGTCTCAAACAGTGGTCCTCTCACACACACCTTGCGTCTCAAACAGTGGTCCTCTCACACACACATTGCTTCTCAAACTGCGGTCCTCTCACACACACATTGCTTCTCAAACTGTGGTCCTCTCACACACACATTGCTTCTCAAACTGTGGTCCTCTCACACACATTGCTTCTCAAACAGTGGTCCTCTCACACACATTGCGTCTCAAACAGTGGTCCTCTCACACACACATTGCGTCTCAAACTGTGGTCCTCTCACACACATTGCTTCTCAAACTGCGGTCCTCTCACACACACATTGCGTCTCAAACTGTGGTCCTCTCACACACACATTGCTTCTCAAACAGTGGTCCTCTCACACACACATTGCTTCTCAAACTGTGGTCCTCTCACACACACCTTGCGTCTCAAACAGTGGTCCTCTCACACACACCTTGCTTCTCAAACAGTGGTCCTCTCACACACACATTGCTTCTCAAACTGTGGTCCTCTCACACACATTGCTTCTCAAACTGTGGTCCTCTCACACACATTGCGTCTCAAACAGTGGTCCTCTCACACACACCTTGCTTCTCAAACAGTGGTCCTCTCACACACACCTTGCTTCTCAAACAGTGGTCCTCTCACACACACTATGCTTCTCAAACAGTGGTCCTCTCACACACACCTTGCTTCTCAAACAGTGGTCCTCTCACACACACCTTGCTTCTCAAACAGTGGTCCTCTCACACACACTATGCTTCTCAAACAGTGGTCCTCTCACACACACATTGCTTCTCAAACTGTGGTCCTCTCACACACACCTTGCGTCTCAAACAGTGGTCCTCTCACACACACCTTGCGTCTCAAACAGTGGTCCTCTCACACACACATTGCTTCTCAAACTGCGGTCCTCTCACACACACATTGCTTCTCAAACTGTGGTCCTCTCACACACACATTGCTTCTCAAACTGTGGTCCTCTCACACACATTGCTTCTCAAACAGTGGTCCTCTCACACACATTGCGTCTCAAACAGTGGTCCTCTCACACACACATTGCGTCTCAAACTGTGGTCCTCTCACACACATTGCTTCTCAAACTGCGGTCTCTCACACACACATTGCGTCTCAAACTGTCTCACACACACATTGCTTCTCAAACATGGTCCTCTCACACACATGCTTCTCAAACTGTGGTCCTCTCACACACACCTTGCGTCTCAAACAGTGGTCCTCTCACACACACAAACAGTGGTCCTCTCACACACACCTTGCTTCTCAAACTGTGGTCCTCTCACACACACATTGTTCTCAAACAGTGGTCCTCTCACACACACATTGCTTCTCAAACTGCGGTCCTCTCACACACACATTGCGTCTCAAACTGTGGTCCTCTCACACACACCTTGCTTCTCAAACAGTGGTCCTCTCACACACACATTGCTTCTCAAACTGTGGTCCTCTCACACACATTGCTTCTCAAACTGTGGTCCTCTCACACACATTGCGTCTCAAACAGTGGTCCTCTCACACACACCTTGCTTCTCAAACAGTGGTCCTCTCACACACACCTTGCTTCTCAAACAGTGGTCCTCTCACACACACTATGCTTCTCAAACAGTGGTCCTCTCACACACACCTTGCTTCTCAAACAGTGGTCCTCTCACACACACCTTGCTTCTCAAACAGTGGTCCTCTCACACACACTATGCTTCTCAAACAGTGGTCCTCTCACACACACCTTGCTTCTCAAACAGTGGTCCTCTCACACACACTATGCTTCTCAAACAGTGGTCCTCTCACACACACATTGCTTCTCAAACAGTGGTCCTCTCACACACCTTGCTTCTCAAACAGTGGTCCTCTCACACACACCTTGCTTCTCAAACAGCGGTCCTCTCACACACACCTTGCTTCTCAAACAGCGGTCCTCTCACACACACCTTGCGTCTCAAACAGTGGTCCTCTCACACACCTTGCTTCTCAAACAGTGGTCCTCTCACACACACATTGCTTCTCAAACAGTGGTCCTCTCACACACCTTGCTTCTCAAACAGTGGTCCTCTCACACACACCTTGCTTCTCAAACTGCGGTCCTCTCACACACACCTTGCTTCTCAAACAGCGGTCCTCTCACACACACCTTGCTTCTCAAACTGCGGTCCTCTCACACACACCTTGCTTCTCAAACAGCGGTCCTCTCACACACACCTTGCTTCTCAAACTGCGGTCCTCTCACACACACCTTGCTTCTCAAACTGCGGTCCTCTCACACACACATTGCTTCTCAAACTGTGGTCCTCTCACACACATTGCTTCTCAAACAGTGGTCCTCTCACACACCTTGCTTCTCAAACAGTGGTCCTCTCACACACACTATGCGTCTCAAACTGTGGTCCTCTCACACACACTATGCTTCTCAAACTGCGGTCCTCTCACACACACATTGCGTCTCAAACTGTGGTCCTCTCACACACCTTGCTTCTCAAACAGTGGTCCTCTCACACACACCTTGCTTCTCAAACAGCGGTCCTCTCACACACACCTTGCTTCTCAAACTGCGGTCCTCTCACACACACCTTGCTTCTCAAACTGCGGTCCTCTCACACACACTATGCGTCTCAAACCGTGGTCCTCTCACACACACTATGCTTCTCAAACTGCGGTCCTCTCACACACACATTGCGTCTCAAACTGTGGTCCTCTCACACACCTTGCTTCTCAAACAGTGGTCCTCTCACACACACCTTGCTTCTCAAACAGCGGTCCTCTCACACACACCTTGCTTCTCAAACTGCGGTCCTCTCACACACACCTTGCTTCTCAAACTGCGGTCCTCTCACACACACCTTGCTTCTCAAACTGCGGTCCTCTCACACACACCTTGCTTCTCAAACAGCGGTCCTCTCACACACACCTTGCTTCTCAAACTGCGGTCCTCTCACACACACCTTGCTTCTCAAACTGCGGTCCTCTCACACACACTATGCGTCTCAAACTGTGGTCCTCTCACACACACCTTGCTTCTCAAACTGTGGTCCTCTCACACACACTATGCGTCTCAAACTGTGGTCCTCTCACACACACTATGCTTCTCAAACTGCGGTCCTCTCACACACACCTTGCTTCTCAAACTGTGGTCCTCTCACACACACTATGCTTCTCAAACTGCGGTCCTCTCACACACACATTGCGTCTCAAACTGTGGTCCTCTCACACACACATTGCTTCTCAAACAGTGGTCCTCTCACACACACACTCTCTCCTCTCTCTTCTCCTCAGCACACCTTTGAGCAGGTGTACCAGCAGCCCGCCCTGCAGAGCGTGCCCTGGTTCCTGGTGTCAGGGAACCATGACCATCGAGGGAACGTGTCTGCGCAGATCCACTACTCCAACCTCTCACATCGATGGTTAGTGAGACTGCGCTTTTTTCACCGGGAAAGCAATCTGAGCTTCCACCCAATCACCATCACCGCAGCCCCTAACTGCTCCTTTAGCAATGACACGGTCTGTCAGTGGGGGCTTAGGGCAAAGTGGCCTTAAGTATCTTGCCTAGGGACATTTTCAGTGATTATGATCATAAACTTGCAGGTCATTTTCTCAGGGATAAGATAAGATAGACTTTATTGATCTCACACTGGAGAAATGTACATGTCACATTTGGCATGGATAGAATGGTGAAAGACAGGAGTGTGCAAACATGTTAAAGGCAAAAAATATAGTCTGTTCAGGATATACAGTATTATGTACAATAAAAAAGTGGCAATTAAAGAAATAGTGGCAATAGCAGTGCAGGTTTTCAGTCCTAGTGCATTAGTGTTTAAAGTGACTTATTGTACAGTCTGACAGCGGTGGGGATAAAGGCCCTGCAGTTCATTATTTAATTTATCATACACCATAAAAGGGGGGATGGAAGTGGCTCAGTTGTTAGAGCATTAGATCCCACCACGATTCTGGTCAACTGCTCCCACTGATGTCTGCTGTCATTGTGTCCCTGGGCAAGACACCTAACCCCAATTTCCCGTGGAAATCAGTGAGAGACTGGTACTAAGACTATTGGGAGGCAGCTCTGATTGCAAACCCCCTGACCCAGATATATACTAATTAAAGGGTTGAAAATGATATCACAATAAACCATTTTTATTTTTCCTTGTGTGATGTTTTGTCTGGATATTGAGAGAGGCTTCACCCCAAATACAAGTGTTCTGGGCTCTCAGGAGGCAGTACTCTTTTGGCGCCCAAGTGATAGAATTGTTGCTTCTTGATCCAGAAAACGTTCTATGTCACGGTGTGGATTGTGTTATTTTGTACTTTGGTTTTATTTTTATATGAGTTCTCTGTGGTTTCATGTTTAGTTTTACTTCCTGTCCTGCTCTTCTCTCCCCTTTTTGCTGGTCCATTGTGTTGTCTCTGTGTTTGTTCGTCTGTTATACTGGTTCCAGAGTTCTTGTTAGGATTTTTTTGCTTGTTTTCACCCGGACATTTTTTGTATTATAATTAAATCCTTATTTTGGCATTCCTGCATTTTTGGGTCCTTCATGCATCTCCCCATGTAACATCCTGGCTTCCCACAAATACTTCCCAACATTGTTCCTACGTCTTTTGTCTTATATTTGTTTGTTGGTAGAAGTCCTTTATCTATAGTTTCAGGGCTCTTCCTTTTATCTGTTTCACTTTTCTATTAAAGCCCTGGCGCCTGAAGGGTTAACCGCTGTAACCACAAAGCAGCTCTGTTTAAACTGTGGTCGGCCATCTGTGTTTTTTTTATTCTAATCACATCAAACACATTCCATTATGCAAATGATAGAATTGTTGCAAATTTCATGCAGAAGTTTTCTTTATCTTGTCCCATAAAGAATGTTCAGCCCTTTCTGTAAAACCACATCCACATGCATGTTTTCCTAGTGCTTTGTACAGAAGTTTATTAAATCCAACACTTTGGACAAAACCTTGAGGTATTTATTGACAGTTGACTGTTTATTGAGGGCACGGTGGCTGAGTGGATAGCACTCTCGCCTCTCAGCAAGAAGGTCCTGGGTTCGAATCCCGGTCGGACCAGGGCCTTTCTGAGTGGAGTTTGCATGTTCTCCCCGTGTCTGCGTAGGTTTCCTCCGGGTACTCCGGTTTCCCCTACCACTAAAAATATGTCCAATAGTTCTAGCATGCGCCTCCTGTACTGGCGACCCCGCTCCCATCTCTATGTGGAGTGAGAGACTAATGCACAAAAAATTAACAATTGTAAACCGCTTTGAGACTCAGATCTGCAGTGAAAAGGCGGTATATAAATAAATACTTACTTACTTACTACTTACTTACTATTGACAGTTTATTATTGTTATTCAACCAGTGGGCTGTGGTACGTTTAGTGTGTCATGAGATGTCTCTTTGACAATGTTCTATTGGTCAAAATAATTTAAATGAAGATTCTTTGTGTTTGATTCTCCATACGATACACTTTGATAAGAATAGCTTTGTTCATAAAGGCTACGGTTTCCTCTGTAAGCTGGTGGTGTGCCATGTGATTCTTTTACCTACATGCAAATGCCAGATTTTGTCGGACCTCTGAGGCTGAGCAGGGCCGGGTCTGGTTAGTACTGTGATGGGAGACCTCTGGGAACACCAGGTGCCACAGTCGGGCGGCTGCTGCTGTGGCTGTAAAGTGCCAATCTGTTACTGTGTACTTAAGGAGGACACTTCACCCCATTGCTTAGTTAGACTCTGGTGTATGTGTGTGTGAATGGTTTGTGGTGGTGGGAAGGGCCAATGGCACAGACTGGTTGCCTTGCTTCTGTTTGTGTTCCCCAGGGCAGCTGTGGCTGTAGTAGTTTATCACCACCGTGTATGGAGTGAAAGAATAATGACATTTGAAGCACCTTTTGAGTGTCTGAAAGTCTAGGAGGGGATTGGATTATACTGTAATATAATATATAATATATTTGTTTTGTCCAATCCTTTTTCTAACTCATGTACACATTCATTCAGTGAATACTTGTTGGTGTACATTGTGCGTTTCCCCTAAATAACATGAATGAAATGTTCTTAGGAATTACCCGAGCCTGTACTACTCTCTGCTGTTTCCTGTGGGCGGATCTAACACCTCTCTGACCGTGCTGATGATTGACACGGTGGTCCTCTGTGGGAACACGTGGGACCAGGACCAACCCGAGGGCCCGGAGAATCCAGCAGAGGCGGAGCAGCAGTGGGACTGGATCCAGAGCCAGCTGCAGAGTGCACGGTCAGTACAGTGACATGTCAGGTGTTCAGGTGTGAAACTGCAGTTTTAAAAGTCCCATATTTCGCTCTTCTTCCTCTTTAACATCTCATCCTAAGCACATTTGTGATAATAATTTGGGTTTACGCCATACAACACAAAGTAAAGCCATTTCTTGCAAAGAGGTGACTTCACCTCATTTGAAACGAGCGAATCTCTGCTCCTTTCCCTGTGAGCACGCTGACTTGGTTGTAAATACAGAGAGTGGGACACTGGTACATGGTCATTTCAGATCTGAGAATAAACTTTTCCAACAATGGCAATCCGTCACATCGAGCACTATGTCCTTCAATCCAGAATCGGATCCTAATCATTTATTCAACAGTGGTATACAATGAGTTAGTAGCTATGTTAGTGGGAATAACACCATGTTTCCAGTTTCATAGTTACCGTAATTCTGGAAGCCTTCTTTGGTGAAGTGTCACTCGCAGAAAAACGGATGAGCCATGGATTTCAGAGGAAGATCCCTATGAATAAAGTCCAGCCACATTCGCCGCACTCTGCGTCTTTGGCCCAAATAGTGTTGTCACATATTTACACCCAAAAACACATTTTCTCCAAGTCACATGACGCTAACACTTTTAGTAGCTGACAATATCAGAAAAACAGCAGAGCTTGATGTGAAGCAAACACAGACTGGTAGACAGGACTCAGAAGAGAGGTTGCATGCGCTGATTTACTGTTTTGAATTCTCCTCCTGTCAATCAGGAGGAGAATTGACAACCCGGGCTCCCGCAACCCGGGCTCCTGCAGCTCATGCATTGACTAAAGATCGCTCTCTAACTATAGCTTGAGGGAATCAATGTAGAAACTGCTTTGGGCATGTGTATGAAGGCCAAATAGCACATGAATGCTATGGAGCATAGGAAAGTCAAAAAGTGCCATATGGGATCTTTAAAGGAGATTTAAAGGACATTTGGCTGCTGTGTGTGCCCAGGTCAGACTACGTGCTGGTAGCTGGGCACTACCCGGTCTGGTCCATTGGGCACCATGGACCCACTTCCTGCCTGGTGGACAGACTCCGTCCTCTACTAAAGAAGTACAGAGTGAGCGCCTACGTGAGCGGGCATGACCACAACATGCAGGTACGAGGCCTACACTCCACTGGGACGTTAGCAATCCATATTTCCAAAGCAAGATTTTATTCTGACATTTTGGGGAAGGCGAAATTTTGCCACACACCTCAAATAACCCGCAATTATATTATTCGAAATAATTATGTGACTTCAGTATAAAGTTACCATTACGAAGTCTGGAAGGAAGGGAATGTACATTAGCAATGTAAATGTGCTGACAAAAAAAGTGGACAGTAACAGTTTTTGTTCTCCCACCGCGAGACCTTCTCCACCAACTCTCACTGCTGTCGTTGTGTTCTTGGGCAAGACACTTAACCCCACTCTGCCTGAAGCCCCCGCTGAAAGACCAAGGCTGTGTCGTCACTGATTGTTTCAGAATTCCAGATGTCCTAGTGTTAAAGTTAGAAATATCCTACTCCGTCTAAGATCTAAACGTGTTCCCAGTTCATCCAGGAGCAGGACGGCTCTGCGTTCTTGGTCAGTGGCAGTGGATCCATCTCCTGTCAGGACCTGTCCCACCGCAGCAGCGTCCCCGCAGCCTGGCAACGCTTCTCCAGCCCTGTCAATCAAACCGAAGCGGGTGTGGCTTACTTCCAGCTCCGCCCAGGTCATATGGTGGCCAGTTTCATGCAACCGGACGGAAAGTGTGTGTTCCAGGACCAGCTACCCTCACGGGGCCGGCACTAGGACCCAGAGAGTGCAGAGAAGGGAGGCACCACCAAACATTGAAACATCGTAAATTATTTGTAATCATCTTTATTGCAGTAACTTGCAGCGTTGATGGGCTGCTATGTCATGTTATACCTAATGTTAAAGCCAATTGTCATAAAGCCAACCACATAATTGAATATGTTCTAAAATGTGAAGTAAAATGTAAGTAGAAGTTATAGTTATTTAAATCTCTATGTTGACCTAAAAAAATATAAAAATCTCACACCCTGCTCCCTTTACATGACATCACTGTTTTATTTTTCCTTTGAGCAACATTGCCCCTAGATCTATACAGAAAGTGGTTACATAATGTCAATACATTAAACATAGATTTTGTAGTTCTGTAGTTTGACTTCCTGTCCTTCCTAGTCTGTTTTCCTGCTGATTACTGCTGCCTCGCTTCAAGTTCAACCGCTTTTAAAAAAAACTTCATTGTTATATACCAGGGGCCGAACACGCTCCCAGGAATCTCACTCACTCCCTGTAAATGATGTTTAAACACAATACTGTTGCATTAACCTTTTCTAGGTATTTAAACAATGGCAATTATTTCTGCAATATTAAAGAAAAGTTTACACACTTATTCTATGTGCTACAATCGGAGAGAAAGAATAATGACATGTGAAGTGTCTTTGAGTGTCCTGAAAAGCACTATACAAAACTAATGCATTATTATTATTTTTATTATATAATAAGCAGGCAGAGGTGGGACAGTCCCCTTCAGTCAGTCCTCCTAAAACCAGATCAGGTCTAGCCTTGCCTTAGCCATCTGTAAACTCCTGTAAATTATTATTTCCCTACATGTACAATTAATTTTGTACGATGATGTGGTAAGACCATGTTAGATCAGGTCAGAAATCTCACCTTAGTCCTGGTCTCAGATACAGTCCTTTTCTGAACGGCCTCTAGGGGGCGCCCTACACTCGCACATGCATGAGCAGAATCTGGGGCTGCCTCTGAATTAATCAAAACAGAGTAATATTGTTTACTCATGACATGACTTACTGCTGTCGGTGGAACAGTGGCTCATGGTTTACAGAATGAAGGTTGTGGGTTTGATCCTGACAAAACAATGCACTGAAAAAAAAAATGACGATGATGAATATGAGGTAATAAATGCCTGAATCAAATGTTTTTGAGTACATCCTGACTGTCTTAAAACAACATTTGCCAATGGGATAAGCCAATAAGTTTTCATTCCAAGGGAGATTTCTTGTATCTTTTTAAAACGAGATAATTTTGCTTGTCCCATTGGCAAATCTAGTTTGAAGGCAGTCAAAATGTGCTCATATTAAAATACGTTTTGCTACATTTGAGCTTTTTTGACTTATTTTTCATCATTTTTTGAAGTGTAAAAACAGCATGGCTCCTGTGTTACTGCTGTTGTTGTTATTTATTTGCAATGTACCTCAGTATCTCATGATAAACAACATTCCTGATATTATTTAAATGGCTCTCCTATTTCTGCGAGTCCATTCCATTTCCATTGTCCATTGTCCAATGGATGGATGGATGGACAATAAAAACACCTCCTTTAAATGAAAAGCTCTTTGAAGTTTGATATTGGTTTTTACCACATCATTTGCCTCATAAAACTAGGAAGGGAGGAAGTATTTTTTGTATTATTTGAATGCATTCTTTGTGAATATTACATCACACAGAATTAGAACTCCAGGTAAAAATATTTAAAAATAAAGAAAACATCAATTATTCTGTAGATTTATTAATTCATTATATTGCATTCAGCCACAACCACAAATATAAAACAATTTGTCTTAAAAAAAATAATTATAATAAATTAATACAAAAATATGATGTACAGCGATTCCCACAGCGGTCCCATTCATAAATAAATAGTGTCTGATATTCACACATGCAGCACGTGAACATAAGGCCGTTTACATATATACACATGTTCTCCAGCGGGGGCAGTGTTGAGCAGTGATCTCATCGATCGCGATCTACCAGTCGATCGCAAAGGTAGTATTGGAAGATCGCATTACATATATATATATTTTTAATCCGTTTATGCATTTGCGTGTGGACAGAGATAACCGGAGTTTTGCGTTTTTGCACGGCACAGTTTGCCCCCAAAACAACAACAACAACAAACAAAACGTGCGACCTCTGATCACTAAAGCATGGATCATACTGCCTTAACAGCGGTTCACAGCAGCGATCCTCGCTCCACATCAGAGAGCAGCAAAGTGATCACACACGCTCGAAAACAACCAAAACAGGAGCTAAACCAGGATCAAACCAGGGCTGAGGACTGGGGTCAATGCTTGTAAACATATGTCTTCACCATGGATCTATAATAACACGTCTTCACCCTGAGTTTCTACTATGACAGTGCCGCTACAGAACGAAAGTTACGAATGTAACTTTGGTTCTATGAATCCTGGATGACCGCCAGAGGCGGTGCTTAAATGCAAATTATTTCATAAATCATGCGGTTTTGCATGTACATCAACATACATTGTAGATATAAAGAATCCTCAATATATTTAGAAATATATATATGTTTTGCATTTTTATAGTAGGTAGATCATTTTGACTTGATCATTTTATAAGTAGCTCGCATGCTGAAAAAGTGGGAGCACCCCTGTCATAGACCATAGAAGGATCATGGACGATGCTAACCTGCTAGCTCGATGAAGCCCAATACGGAAGTGCCAATGGACAGTTTTGAGTTTAATCTTAATTCTAATTTTAAAGTATAGAGTTGGTGCTATACTTAAAGTAGCTATATGTAAGATTTGCTAGAAGTTGGGAAAACTTGCTAAGAAGTACAGATGATGGGTGAGAAACCTTCCTTTGCTTCGACTAATCCCTGTACGACTGAGGGCTTACACAAACTAAAACAAGGAACAAAATTAAACGATTTCTATTTTCTATTGGGGCCTTTGTGAAAAAGGTGTTGGTTATAGATTTGTTGTTGACAAAACTATTGTCTATTCAACTGTTATGGTCCCAGCTGGATTGGTCTGCATATCTGGCAACCTGAGTCAGGGACAGTACCACTTTTGGCCAAATTTTTACGTACTACTCCTGTGCTCCTTTCAATTAAAAAGTAAGTGGTTTTTTTTTTTTTTTTTTTTTTTTTTTTTAGCGAGGGGCGACAGTAGCTCAGTTGGTAGAGCATTGGCCTTTGAGCCTGGAGGTCATGAGTTCAATTCCCACCATGGGACCTACTCCAACTGCTCCCACTGATGTCTACTGTCGTTGTGTCCTTGGGCAAGACACTTAACCCCACGTTGCCTGAAGCCCCCGCTGAAAGACCAAGGCTGTTTCACCACTGACAGAGCAGCCATCTTCCTGTGGACTCACCCCCTGCAGAGGATCAGCGAGGGACTGGTGCTATGAGCATTGGGTGGCAGCTCTCATTGCCACCCCCCTGACCCAGAAATGGACAATAAAGGGCTTGAAAATGAATGAATGAATGAATGAATGGTTTTAGCGCTCTCCGTGATTCTTGTTTTTATTTTGATATTGTCTTTGTAAATCCAGATATGGGCCAATCAAATGCTGTATATAATTGTTTCCTGCACTTTTTTAGCTTATTATGCAGCCCGCGAAAATTCAATTTGGTAGACGTTAACCAAATTTACCCCTCCAGGCCGGCTCTCATCCCCAGCCTATCGCTCAGCAGACGCCCCCTTCCAATCATCTGTACCGACTCGCAGCCGCATAAAAACGGAGCAACTCCCACTACCGGCCTCTGAAGCCTCGCAACCACCGCCTCCCCTCCTCCTCCTCTTCACCCTGCCTCCAATCTGCCTTCAATCTGCTTCCCGCTGCCAAATGCCGCCACCAGTGCCTAGGTCCCGGGGGATTGTGCGCGCTCATCACAGGAGCCTTTACAATCCGAAGGCCGCACCGGGACCTAGGGCGCCAAACCTCCTTTCATAAAATACTCAACTTCCTGTTTCTCGTCTCTCCAAATTGAATTATCAGGTGCACACTGGGGACTTTTGCAAATATTTTCCAATGTTGTTTTACAGCAAATGGAAAATAAAAATGAATCTGAATCTTGGGAAAAAACTCAATCTTGGTTCTTGACATAGCAACACGTCTGTCCCTGTTACAGCGCGGAGCAAACGCCCATATAAGGAAACTGGCTCCAGCTAGCTTCAGTTCAAATGGGCCTCATCCGCATTAGGGCTTACTATAAGGGTGGTGAAGTAAGCACTAGACCAGTCCACTCCTAATCCACGGTCTATGAGAAGGATATGTACAGTATAAGAGTTTTTACAGTGAAAACAAAATGTCATGTGTCACAATCAAAAGGAAAAGTCACATCGGTGCAGCAGGAGAAAAGTGTATGATGGCTTACTCATCAGGTGAAAATGTTTACTTTGGCATTTCCTGATGTTAAAAATATATGTATGAAAATAGTATATAAACACAGAGCAACATTTACATTACATTCGGTTTGATTTAAATATAGAATGGAAATGTTGCAGCCTCTAAAACGAATTTACTGGAAATACATTTGTTTAAAGACAGCAAACCCCTAAGTCCATGACATCAGACTGCCTTAGTGTAACAAGTTTGAAAACAGAACATATTGACAGAAGGGGTGGGGTGTCGGGTTTATGCCAGAAGCAAACAACAATATAACAATATCTTAAAAGTTTGGTCTCATTTGGATCAAAGTGTAGGATATGGGGTCAGTAGCATCAGCAAATTAAAAACATATACAAACATATACATACATAATAACCAGAGTCGATTAAAAAGAGGTTATAGATGACATCACAACATTCATGGTTAACTGTGAAGTGCAGAGGACGTAACAAGACAGAGGATACAGCAGCTAAAGTCAGGTGTATGTTTGTCTTCACGCTCTCTGTGGTTTGTTAGATCAGACGGAAAATATGCGAGGCTGGTATTTCGCTGGGACCGCACAGTGACGTGAATTTCAGTGAAAATACAATATCCTTCTGCTGATGGTGTTTGACACAAGATCAGCTCCACATGTTCAGAACACTTATAATAAACATTTGAAATAGGACTGGCAGGTTTGACAGGGATTCTGGGCAATTTGGTCAATCTATCATCTGACCAAACCAGCCACAGAGACCATGAGGACAAACACATCTGGTTTTTGCAGCTGTAAAGCAGCCTGTCCTGTACTGCCCTCTACACTCCAGTCTTTACAGCAGCAGCTGCGCTTTTGTGCGTAACAAATCACACCACTCTATATAAGAGTCAGTTCTGCAGTCTAAAGAATGTTGTGATGTCACATGTCCCTTAACTGGCCGCAATGATCAGTACAGTTACAGTAAAATGATCAAACTAAAGTCCAACATAAACAGCAGGTGATCACCAGAGGCCAGCCCCAGTGTCGTGTCCCTCACTCTCTGTTCAGATCGGACTGAGTCCATGTCCAGTGCAGTATCACACTGTGGACTCAGTTCAGGACCATTTTCTAGTCTAAATAAACCCAACAAAATGAATTTGAAATCATCCATAAATTAGAAAAGGTCAATACCACAATGTTTGGTATCGATACGATACCAAACAGATCAGCAGACGTCCATTCTGCTGAAGACAATGAGGCACATGTTTGGAATGAATGTCTAATTACTGTAAATACATGTGTTTGTAGTGTGACATTGGTTTACTCTACACACCACTCTGACGCGCTCAGGGCAGTTTCACAGAAACTAGAGTCCGCTGCAGAGTGGTGCGTCGCTCCTGGTACTACACGTTGAGCGCCTGGTTCTCCTTCTGGTTCTGGGTCTTCTGGCTGGTCCTCCGTCTGCAGCACACGACCACAAGTGCGATGATCCCTCCCATCAGCAGGAGGGGCAGGAGCACAGCCGCAGCCAACACGCCCACCGAGTACTCTGCAGAGCAAGAGCAGGACGTCACACACTACTCTGGATCAGACACTGATGTGAGAGCGGCCGGAGGTCAAACCGTGGTCAGGTTAGAGAAAAGAAAGTGGTGCTGCACCATCTGGGCCTCAACGCTCCATGTTCAACTTCAAACAGCTCGCTCATGGTTCTACCTATATCCCTAATTTACACCAAGCGTCTAAGTTACGTCCAAGAATAGCTTTTCATTTTTACGAGTTTGAGGGTTTATATCAGCAGTGAGTATAAAAGGCTTTTTTACTTTATGTGCCGCTATGACAACGCTGAAGATCTTTTTTTTTTGTGTGTGAACCTTTATCTAACACATTAAATGTTAAACATTTACATTTTTTAACAAAGTAATTGTAAAAACTAAACATATTTAGTATGTTTGAGATTTCAATATTGATCAGAAAAAAAATCGCCTTGACCAAGAAGGTTTAAATAAGGCGGCACATCCCAATGACCTGATCTCACGTGCTGGATTCAAAAAGTGCAGAATATGATAAAAAGATACAAATCCACACATGGACATTTTCTTCTGTGTGTGCTTTATATTCTTCATGTGTTTTCAACTGTGTGCTTCAACTGTTGATTCTCTGACCTGTGTTGGTGATTTCTATGGTTTTGTTAAGTCTCTGAGATGACTTCTGTTGTGACCTAGGGCTATACAAGAATAAATTGTATTGTATTGTATTGCACATGTCTGATGAAGGGTCTCAGCCCGAAATGTTACACTCGTGGTCTGTAAATAAAAGACACTTGGGAGCAACAAATCTGTGCGGATATTCATCTTTTTTTCATAATATAAATGACCAAAACATGAAGGAGGGATATCCACACGAGAATGTTTTGTCCTGGGCTGAGAAAGCGGGAGTGGGACCACGAACATTCCACTTGACGTGTGTGTGTGTGTGTGTGTGTGTGTGTGTGTGTATGTGTGTGTCTGACTCACGGTCCGTCAGTTTGGGGTCTTTATAGGGGGTGCACTGAGTGGGACTCAGCTCTCCCAGCTGTGTGGCTGTGGGTCTGGAGCGAATGAAAGTCTGCACCTGGAAACAGTAGCTCTGTCCATGGTCCAGAGACTTCAGCTCCACCACGTTAGACTTGGTTGTCGCCACTTTCTGTAAACACACACACACACACACACACTGATACATATCTGCCATAGAGTTACAAAGGCCCCTGCACAAATCTGAGAGTATTGACATTAGAGTTTTTCATTCCTTGCCGATGAAGGATGGTCTAAGGACAGAGCTGATGATCCAGGTCTCTTGATATTCAACCACATTTATGGACATTGGTCATCTGCCCGTTATGGACCAATGGCTCTATGTGTTTTTTATCATTGCATTTCTGGTTTGATTCTCTGATCTCCATCCATCCATCCATCTTCTTCCCCTTAATCCATTTCTGGGTCGGGGGGGTGGCAGTCAGAGCTGCACCCAATTCACTTAGCACCAGCCCCTCACTGATCCTCTGCAGGTGGTGAGTCCACAGGAGGACGGCTGCTCTGTCAGTGACAATACAGCCTTGATTTTTCAGCGGGGGGTTCAGGCAATGCAGGGTTAAGTGTCTTGCCCAAGGACACAACGACAGCAGTCATCAGTGGGAGTCGGTGGAGAAGGTCCCGTGGTGGGCTTGAACCCACGACCTTCAGGCTCAAAGGCCAGTGCTCTACCAACTGAGCTACTGTCGCCCCTGATTCTCTGATCTGTTTCTGCAAATTCAACAGTTTTTTTTGTAAAGTCCTCCGACATAACTACTGTTGTGATTTAGGGCCATGCAAGAATACATTAGAATTGACACTCTACACCAATTGAATGGACGGCTTCGCCACCTCCGCTGCTGAGTCCTAAAGAGCTGTTGTACTTTATTACTATTGTTAGCTACTTTTAGAATGATCTATCTATATGTTTTGTTTTGTGTGGATGCATGTGTTTCTGTGGCTACTGGACACCTGATTTTCTCCTACAGGGGATTAAAGTATTTATCTATCAATCTATATTCATTCTACAAAGGAAGTAGACCTTTCAAGTATGACATAATCTCTAATTTCCAATTTCAAAAAGTGTGGAAATAAACAACGCCGGGGTCATTTTCAAACCAATGTAAATAAAATGGAACTCTGTAATGAGTTTTTTTTTTTTGTCAGCCTCTGCCACATCTTTTGTTGTCAGGTGGAAAAATATGAGAGCTCTGTATAACAAAACAGAATAAGCAGATTTCCTCTAATACCCTGATAATGTGGCCCCAGAGCTGCTGGAGGCCCCTAACCCCAGACAGTGCGGCCCCAGTACCTTGCCTGTGCTCTTGTTCCTGCGGTAGGTGACCTTGTACTCCAGGTCATCTCCAAACACGTCCCGAATGCTGAGCTGCCGGCTGTCTGTGAAGAGCGCGGTCAGAGGGTCCGAGATGTGGACCGTGGTCACTCTGTGGTCATCGCTCACCTCCAGCTTAAAGGAGGGCCCCAGGAGAGTGGCTGCACGCACACAAACACACACACACACACACTTAGAGGAGGGTGAGCAGATCGCCCTGTTTGCCAAGGAGAGAACCAGTGTTTAGGCCTGCAGCCATAAAAACATAATGTGAAAAAGTATGAACTGAGCACAAAATGTCTGACTTTAGCTTAATAAGAAGTTAAAAAGTAAGTGTAAAGTCTGTCTTTAGCGTGGGGCGGACGTGGGTACTCACTGTGGGTGTAGGGGCAGAAGCGTGGCGAGCTGCTGTAGGGGTAGTCCTTGATCTCGCGCGGGGCACCCATGGGTGGCTCTGACAGCACGTCCGCAGTGTAGCAGGCGTTCAGCTCGCTCAGGCTGCTGGACAGGTCACACTGGGGGTTGGAGCTCTGGATGCAGTGAGGGTTTCTCTGACGGTCTCGGCCCACTCTGGACACACATGAGGACACATATTAGCCAAACTGTACACTCAGTGGTTTGTGTGTCTACTCCTGTGTGAGTGTGTGCGTTTGTGTTCATATGTATTGACGTGTGTGTGTGTGTGTCGCGCAGTGTCAGTGCCATATATCACACTTGTGCACGATGCTACACCCAAAGTTCACACACGGGCAGCAGGCCTGTCTCCTCACCCGTATGTGAGGGGAGACGCTGATAGCACACAGCTGTGAAGAGACAACACACACACACAGGACGGGACGGGCACAGGGCTCTTGTGTTCCTTTCACATAGCCTTTTTAATTAAAGATGAATACTATTTGATAGAAAATGAGATTGGCTGCACCAGAACAAGACATGAACCGATTCTGCCAAAATGCACCTGAGAGCAGACTTCAGAGATCTGACGAATACATTGAAGCCTTCCTCACCTTCATAAAACTAACAGTAACAAGTTTGTCAGATTGTAAGGTCGGTTTTGAGACTAACTCCATATCTTTACTTTTGGGACACACTCATGCAGCCTAAGAGGAAAATTCAGTCTGGTAGACTAACTCCTGCAGGTCCATCTTATCTCGGGCCCGCCCCCTTCACCCTCAGCCTATCACACAGGTCTGCCAACTTCCCTGCCATTACATGCCAATCAAGCCGGCATTCTCAAACAGACTCTCACAACCACCACGTCCCCACCTCCTCCTCTGGCCCTTCAGGTGTACGCTCTTGTCTCGACTCTGCCCTCATACCACCAGTGCCCAGACCCCGGGAGATCATAAGTGTTATGCAAGCAAAGATCTTCCCCGACCAATTGTCACAGCCGGGGTCTATGTGCCAAACAAAAATAAATAAACCCCATTTCATGTCCGTCTAGTCTCTCCAGATTGAGGTAATATGTACCTCAGCCACAGGTAAACAGCAACGACATCTCACCAGGTCATAACCCACTCAACAGTGCACTTACTTAATATTTTAGCTCAGACACAACACATTTTGAGATCGAATCTTATCTTGAGATGACTCTGTAGGTCAGTGATTGACCAGCCCCAGGGCAGCTATACTGTCAAGGTCAAGTTTAATTGTATAGAAAAAAAAATCAGTATTATCATATTATACATAAAAAGATGATTGATTCCGATCTAACAAGGGGATCCACTTTGAGTGCACTTGAGCGTGATAAGGAGCCGGAGTCCATCTCCCCAGAACCGCTCTCAGACCAAATGCATTATAGCTCCAGCTCTTTTCTCCGCTCCTGCTTTTATCTGCTGTTTATCTCACTGTCCCGGGACACATTCCTGCACACACAGTTTCAGTGCGGCCGCTCCCTCTGTTTATCTCCACTCCCAAGGGTCAAGGAATTTTTTATGAGCTGGGTTTATCATTATCTAGGACGGCATTGTTTGGACCAACCTAATATAAAAAAGTAGGTCGGTGTCAGGTGAATCACAGAAATCATTAATGCCTCATATAAGTTCATTTTACATCTGTCCCTGCGGAGTTATCACATTCAGCCAGAGAACAGCAGTGAACAGGGTCAGTGATGCTGGATCCTGTATCAGAAAAGGATACATTTATAAATATTCTGCATTTATTGTTCTTTCTATGAGTTGATGAGCAATAATGATATAACATAATTAAAACAGACCATTTTGTATAGTGTGTGTCCCGCCGTGAGTTCAAGTTTTGCTTCCGCTCGCTTTGGCTCCTATTGACTTACATTGAAAAGTAAACTTCTCTAGCTCAGTAACCATTCCCGCATATTGGGAATACAAAATCTGTGGTTTATTACTCTCTGTGATGTTTGGGCTTTTATTTTGATATCAACTTTGTAAATTCAGATTTGAGTCTTATAAGGATGGATCAATCAGATGACTTCATTTGCGGGGGGGGGGGACTCCAGCTTGCCTTAGCAACCATGTTAGTAACACGTCTGCCCCTGGTACAGCACAAACAAATTCCCATAAAAGGAAATTGGGTCGGTCCACCTCTAATATACAGTCTATGGAGTCTATTCATATTAAAAGATACATGTTATGCTAAATGTTCAGCACAAGCTCATCCCCTCTCCCACACTGATCGATCAGTGCTGAAGCTCAAACTGAATCCTAAGTATGTGTAATAGATGCAATCAAAGTGAAGTGCATGTTGGGACGTGTCGTGTGGGGGATACTCACTGGGAGAACTCCACGGTGTAGGAATATTCTGGGCCCGGCTCCGGACCCCACATCAGCACCGTTTTGAAGTTTGTGGATTTCCATGTAACGTTCTGAGCGGGAGGGAAGGCGGCTGTGGAGGAGGAGTCATTTATCTTTCCATTCAAACAACCATTTACAGAAAAATATGGCATCATTTTGCCAATAGTTTGAAATGTGATTAATTACGATTAATTAATTTTTAAGCTGTAATTAACTCGATTAAAAAAATTTATTGTTTGACAGCCCTAGTTTTTAGATATGTATGTACCAATTTAGAAGATCTGAAAATGGGGATATTGAGAATCTACATTATGGGGAAATTGTATCTTTCACACATGCCACATTTTCAAATATCCGGATCGTATCCAAATACAAAGATATATTTGTATATTGTTAGTCGGAAATATCTCCCATGTCTGTCTACGTTTTTCTACTTCATTGGTAAGTCAATCTTGAACAGCTTGAAATCAGAAAATAGTCTAGAAAATTGCAGATTAGAACAAAATGCTCAGTTCTAGTCATTTCCAAAAACAAATATTCAGCATTTGTATAACATGATAACAACGCTGAATCATTTCAACATTAGAAAATAGAGTAGAAAATATATGTATAAGAGGCAAAGCGTGTGTGTAAAGCTGGGGTACCTGACTTTCAAACCACAAAAACAAAAACGAAGTATGGTTCTATCACTCGTTTTCATGTGCATGTATTTTGGGGCCTCGACCACATCTGTAGATCAGCTTTTTCAGACAGAAAAGTGTTAAAAAGGTCGTATTGTTTTAGGGTTTTGTATAACTACGCAAAGAATATGTTTTCGCAAGACTTTTATGTGAATCAGCTACATGTGAAAACGGTAGATAACAAAGCTTTATGAAAAGAAACAGCTCCATCGTGTGAGGTTTTGTCACAGTGTAACAAGTTTGTAAAAGGAGCATGAAAACAGAAGAGCCAGGGCAAAGTCAAATGTTTTTTTTTTCTTTTTGCATCCCTTGCAGAGGAATTACCCAATTGAATATTGAAACTGTGATCTTTATATAACTACTGTCAATGCAGTTTCAAGAAACAACAATTTCCACAAGTCGCTTAAACGTCACCTCTGAATCATTGTTTCCTCTGAAAGACTAAATACTAAATATTATTCCCCCAGTCCGAGAGCTCTGCGCACACTCTCCAGGCACAAGGCCAGGCCCATTTCAGACAAATATGCCAGTGTGATTTTTCAGAGAGGCCTTTTGATATCTCAGACAAATCAGGTCCAAATCTGCTCTAATATTATGTGCTAATTGTAGCGTTCCAATTATTTATGTGCTAAACCGCAACAGAATAGTATAAAGTCGAACAGTTTGTAGGGAAAGTATTTATAGTCCTCACGATTTGCAAAATGTATCAAAATGACGATATCGTTTGCATTAAATGAGCTTATTTTTTAGTTGTTCAATAAAAAAAAAGTGTTTTGTATATGCATATAAGCAATAGAAATCCTCACCACTTCAAACAATAAAAAAAATCATAACACGTCTTGTCTTGCCTCAATAATCAGGGCTAGAAAGTACTAGTCCTAAATCATGAAGCACGTCACATGCGCAATTCTTTTTCTATCAAGTATCAATCAATATCAAGTAGTTTAACAGCGCCTTGCAATTGTGTGTATTTTTCAACACATATAGTGCAGTTGTAAGGGGTGAAGTGTCTTGCCTAAGGACACAACTACACTACACTTTGGTACCTAACGGCCACTGTGGCACCTGGTGTACGCAGAGGTCTCTCATCACATGACTGACCAGGCCCTGCCCAGCTTAGTTTAAGGGATGATAACATGTTTTGGTATAAATTTGGCCTCAGAGATCTGCTGTATTTGAATCTAATGTAAAAGCCTTATATCATATTTGTATGCATCAAATGTGTACATCCTAATAATATCACAGGATTAGCGGATCAGAAGCAACACGTTTCACTTTTTGTTTCACTACAAAACGTTTTGTGCGATTTTAAAACTGCAAATCATCCACATTTAAAATTAAAATATTGAAAGGAGAGGCTGTGGTGTGAGAAATAAGCGTTATCATTAAAAAATCAAATAAAAAAAACTACAAAAGACACATTGATAAGGAGCTGGATTATTTAACCGTGTAAAACTTAAAGAGGAAAAGCAGCAGGATGATGGGCCGTAACTGTGCACAAGCCAGGAGCCGCTTCAAGGGTCAATTCTTTCACATAAATCAGTCAGATCCACTCACCGTGAGCGAGCAGCGCGGTCAGGCAGGCGTGCATGAGTACCACCACGCACAGCGGATGGAGTCTGGTCATAGTCCACATTTTGAGCTCTTTCCCCGGGATAGTGCTGTGCTGTGGTCTGCTCAAGGCGTCTGGAGGTGTGCGCGTCTCAGTCCCAGGGAGAGCATTTATATGAGTGCACTCGGACCATATTAGGAGCGTCCTGCCAAGACGTCATAGCTACCCGTGAACGCGCATATGAAGAGGAGCGCGACAGGTTACGGGAAACGGCAGGTTAAAGCTGAGATCCCTAGAATTTCTGTCTCATAAATTACACGTTTTTTGTCCCAACAGTAAGAGTTTTGTAAAAGTAATATGCTGCAAATAAATCAGGCCACCACTTGTTCTACATAGAGCCCTGAGAGTCACTATTTGACGCGTTGGCCTGAGAGCTCAATGGCTGATGTGATGGTCCTGTGTCGTTTCTGATCTAAATGTGACAAAGCATGTGAAAACTAGTGATAGGGCCTAGAACCGAACTGTTTTGAGATAGTTATATGGATTGCACTGATATAATAAATACAATCCTTATAATCCTTTTTAATTATTGTATTTATTATACACTATACATGATAAAGAAAATTGCAAAAATGAATAATATATGGATATATGGGGATGATGATGACTGTATGATTAGTAAAGGCTTTGATACTGAAAGACGTATGAGGTATTACGGAAACAATATAAATATAAACACATTATACTGCACAAATCAAGTGCATATTATTGTGAATGTCACTGTTGCATAACTATAAATATACCACTGACTAAGCTAAGCTTTAGCAACCGCGTCATTTAAGTTTGGTTAATTTAGAATGTGGGGGTGGGAGTTTATAAGTCTTAACTTGTTCCCACTCCTTTTGAGCTGGATTTTTGTTTTTAAACAAAACATACGGTTTATTTGTACATTCCCATTTATCGTTTCATTTTCTATTTGGTTATTTTTCTTTGTTCTTGCTTGCCATGGCTCGAAATGAATTCATTCATTCAGAGTAATAAGTACATTGGTTTGAAACAAGGTGCCCCATCTCTGCGGAGTCGATCAGAACCACCAACGAGACATGGAGGTATTTGACTTCAGACTGTGATGGAAATGGAAAGAAGTAGTTGTAAGTAGCTCTCCCGGGGATGGAGACCGCTGCTGCTGTGAAGCTCAGCCAAAGTCTGATGTCCTGCCAGCATGACGCCATGACCCAAACACACAAGATTACAGGAGCAATCACTATTAATGTTGACCACACACACAAAAAACGGTCTCAGTCTTAGGCCCCGTTTATACAGAGAGGATGCAAGAGTAAAACGTTAGTCGGGTATCGGTTTGGCCTCCTGTTTACATGGAGACTGTGCTTCAGGGCAGTGCATAAGCGCTGGGAAACAGCCCCCAGAGTGGAACAGCTCAGATACGCTGCTTAGCGGGGGCTGTTTCACACCCGCCTGACACGGAGGAGAATTCTACTCCTTTGTTCGTCCAAACGAAACCACGCAAAGCTGTAGTTTCAGTTTCCATTTTCGCAGTTGCTGTTAAATGCAGAAGGATGTTGGTTCTTTCACATCTTTGCGGTGGCCTGAGGAGGATGTTGTTGACAAAGTTGTTCTACTGCTGGGGGTCGCGTGTGTTGTGTTGTAAAGTTCCACAATGTAGTTCTAGCACTCATGGCTGTCATTTCCATTGTGCTTCTTCATGTCATGTATTTTCATGCACTCTAACACAAAATCATTCTTCAAGGACCTTTTAGGTGGTCCAGGGGGTGTTTCTGCATAGGCTTGCAGTAATAGTATTTGCAGTGCTGGACTGTGCTGGGCTCTTGGACGGAGGATGGAGCTGCAGCGCTGCGCGTTTGGCTGCAGATCAACATTATTACACAGCATTCTGGAAACTAGTTTTTTGTCAGCCAATATTTTCTGTTGTTGCCATTGATAGGTTGCATTCATGTTTTGGAATTCTAATTCAGTGTTTTGAGCAGGTACCAGATTTGCAACAAATGTTGAAAACGTTTCATTTGGTTCTTTTGAAAGTTGAATGTATGACCTTGTTAATATGTTTCAGCAGCAGAGCTGCGAGCCATCTTCACGCCTTAGTGACGTGTCATATATCAGCTGATGTTCATGAGTAGGCGTGGTCAGCCTGATGGACCTGACAGGTCGCTCAGACTGACCACGCCCCGTGGTCTCTGGAGGAGGGTGTCCCATGTGTGCGACAGGAGGAAGGCTCTCTCATCCTGGTTGATGTTGTTGCCTTGTTTTCTGATTTCAATTGCCTCCTTGATCCAACGTTTGAATTTATTGGGTCTGAAAATGGCTCACAGCTCTGCTTCCAACTCGTCTTTCAAAAGAATCAAAAAAAAAATATTTTAACTCACAAATGTTGTAAAAGATTTCCAAAATTTTCCTCAGGTCATTATTTGATCATGATTATATTCTCAAAGCTGCCACGTCCTTTCTTCTCACCAACATCATGCAAATGTTTCCAACTTCTCAAAATAAAATATATAGACTATAGTCGATATGTGCTGACAAAGAAGATGTAGACCTTTTGAAAAGTTTCAAGTGGATGTTTCAAAGAAATACAGAGAAAATATCTAAACAACTTGGGACTCTTCCCATAGTTACCAGAAAACATTGTTTCAGCTGCTCTGCTCCACAATGTGAGGACTACAGGCAGTTTGGGAGGATAGAGACTTTATACTTTTACTCTTAGTTTTAGCTTCTTCATGATGCTAAAGTCGGACATTTTAGATTTGCTTCCTTATTACGCTAAAGCTAGAGGATTTATACCTGCTTTTTTCTTATGCTAAAGTTACAGATTTTAGAGTTATTGTTCGTTTATCTTATCTTGTCGATTCCTCATTCCTACTGTGCTCTAACCAGCGTAGCTACTCTGACATTTATTTATTGTGAGACATTAAAGGATCTCATAATCTTAATGTGTATGTAACATGTGCACATCCTTCTAATGGCTGTAGCTCAGTGACCATGTGTGCTGGTCCACGGTCTGCTCCCTGGTCAGCGTCCTTCTCTGGGACCGTGATCTGGTGCCTGACGTCACTGGTGGTGGCGGTGAGCTCTTGTGTCAGCGATGAGGATGACATCACCCACTGCAATGCTCATCAGCCGCTGGAACGGTCCTGGTGATGTAGTGTAGAAAAATGCTCCGGGTATGTGGTCTGTGTAGCACACTTTCATCTGAGTGACGACACACACACACACACACACACACACGCACACACACACGCACACACACAGATCACTCTCCATTAGGGGGACTATTCTTAGCGTGGAATGCCTGAGACAGAGCCATATCCGGTGAGCATAAACAGTGCAGAAACATGGGAAACAGCCAAACAATGTTTAACTACACACATGTGAGTGCAGCCGTGATTGAAGTAGAAATCATTGTTTGCGTTTGTACTACTACAGCAGGGGTCTCCAACCTGTGGCTCGGGAGCTACAGTAGCTCGCCTACCCCCTCTCAGGTGGCAAAGGATTTAGAATATAACACATGATCTTGAATTAATACATTTTGAGTTGTCACATGTCTCTTATGCTTAAGTATTATGTAAAAGTATAAATATAGGGTTTTAAGATAAGATAAGATAGACTTTATTGATCTTACACTGGAGAAATGTACATGTCACATTTGGCACAGATAGAATCACTCAGATTGTGCAAAAGACAGAAGTGTGCAACATGTCAAAGGTAAAAAAAAAAAGTCTGTTCAGGACACAATTATGTACAATAAAAGGGGCAATTAAAGAAACAGTGGCAATACCGGCGCAGTATTTTACACGTGTTCTCCATGTTTTGTCGTAATCATTACATACATTTTTAGTACGACAGCAAAAAGGAGTAGCTCTCTGCCTCTGTTGTATAAAAGTACCTCTCTGATGGAAAAAGGTTGGAGACCCCTGTCCTACACATTCACTGGGTTTGAATTATTAAAGAAGACATATAATATATTATTTGTGGCCAATAAAAACCATGTGACTGTTCACTCTATCCATCACATGTGAATGTGAGATAAAAGCTAAGAAGAAATATGGCAAAATGTAAAATGATAAAAAGTATAAGTATGTAACTCTAACTCCCTATGCTACCACCAGAGGGTGGAGCTATATTTGTTTAGATTTTGTGTCCGAATATGAAGGTCAGTTTTTTCAGCCTGTAAATTTGAAAATGATCGGCTACAAACACAGCCCTGAGATTGTAAAGAATGTAATTTCACCTGAGAAATTCACAAAACTAATTTATAGTAGTCCTATGACATCATACTAGTACAGGACTAAAGACAGGGGCTTTTACACAGAAGGGGTGGAGCTACGTGTTTGCGCCAGAAGTTTCTGATAGTTGCGTGGTTGGATCTAAAAAGATTTTTTTTCTCCTCTTCTTTCTTTGTTAATGAAGTTTTGTTTGTACTGCATCAAGTGTGCCTCAGACATTTCCTGTGGAACTCTGAAGAATGCCAAATGATTACAATTTACTGTTTGCCTCACAGATTATTCAACAATGGAAATATTTCACCACAAGAGTAAATCCCTTCTCCGTGTTGAAGATGGAATCAAGACAAATGTATCTGATAACTTCAAAGAGATTCCATTCCATCTTCTTCCGCTTCATCCGTTGCCGGGTCGCGGGAGCAGCAGTCTAAGCAGAGACGCCCAGACTTCCCTATCCACACACACCTCCTCCAGCTCGTCCGGGGGGATCCCAAGGCGTTCCCAGGCCAGCTGAGAGACATAGTCCCTCCAGCGTGTCCTAGGTCTTCCCCTGGGCCTCCTCCTGGTGGGACGTGCCCAGAACACCTCCCCAGGGAGGCGTCCAGGAGGCATCCGGAACAGATGCCCGAGCCACCTCAACTGGTTCCTCTCGACGTGAAGAAGCAGCGGCTCTACTCCGAGCTCCTCCCGTGTGACTGAGCTCCTCACCCTATCTCTAAGGGAGCGCCCAGCCACTCTGCGGAGGAAGCTCATTTCGACCGCTTATATCCGCGATCTCGTTCTTTCGGTCATTACCCAAAGCTCATGACCATAGGTGAGGGAGGGAACAAAGATTGACCGGTAAATCGAGAGCTTTGCCTTTCGGCTCAGCTCCCTCTTCACCACAACGGTCCGATACAGCGACCGCATCACTGCGCACGCTGCACCGATTTGCCTGTCAATCTCACGCTCCATCCTTCCCTCACTCGTGGGAGGGAAGGATCTCAAAGAGATGCTTTTGCAAATGATCTCTTCAGAAACAGACTGATGGTCAAAAAAACTCTATCGTCATCGTCTTCCAAAGAAATGTGGTTCTTCTATGGAATCAAATCAAGAATCTTATGACCTCTCAACTCCACAAAGGTAACTGTTCATAGACCCATAGATTAAATACACCCCTTTTCGGCCCACAGATATGAACAATGCGCAGTCAAAACCCTTCTCAGCTCGCAATCAGCACATCTGTATTTTACGGCTTGTCACATGATGTTTTTAAATACTAGAATACTCCATTACTTGCACTTGCTTCCCAGCTGTCACAGCATGACTGTTCATTACTGTACGAGGTGCCTCAGCTCCAGACGAGTGTGTCCTAATTTAGCCCTAACACTGGGGCCTCTGTCTCCACTGATGCTCCTATTGTCCCCCACTCACCCACACAGCATTATGGGGCCACGCGGCGCTCTCTTCAGAACTATGAGGTCCCCCCCGTCTGTGCGCGCCCCAACTCTGCTCTGTACCGCATGTATGTGTGTGTGTGTGTCTAGGGGTCTGAAAGAGACGGCTGGTTCCTGGAAATGCACACTGGAGCTGGACCCATGTACCACGCTTTACCTCGAAAACAGCTGCTTTTGCTATTACTGTTTTGTATCACTTTTCTTCCATGACCCAATATTCTAAATAACGGGGGTACTTAAGCCTGAATGAATTTAACAGACAAGTCAAGTTTTAGACGTTGTAACTCGACCGGCGCAAACCACGGTGGTTGTCTGCAAGAAGAATTTTCCGATCTCACACTCATTCATCCACATTCACACCTATAGACCCTACAGTAAGTAGCACTGCCGCCCGGTGCCAGCACAACAGGGTCTTGGGCCTGGGTTATACTGTTAACCATCAGTACTAATGCTGCTGCTACCATACTACTATTCCTAATCTGATGTTTTCAAAGTTGATCTACTGTAGGCGAACTGGTTGCTATGTCTCTGCGACTGTCTCTGCTGCTGTTATCTGACCACGGTGCTGTTGCTACTGTTTTGATGCTGTGCCCGCAGTACTTTTGCTGTGGTCAGTGGAGAGTGACTCATGCTGGCAGTTTATGAATGAAAAAGCCAGACTAAGAGAATCCACATGTGCTGGAATTGAGTAGTTTGGCAGAGTGGTTTTGCTGAGTCGGAGTTGGAATTTTTGCGTTATGAGGTTGTGTGTTGGATCCGCAGCAGACAGACTCTCTCTCATTCAGACCCAGATCACGTCACTGGATTCACCCACCGAGCAGAGGGATTGGCCGCTCTCTTTCCCCACTTAGTACACCATTATTTATGTCCCATTTGGCCCTCAGACATGATCTTAAGAATATTTACTTTGGACTTTCATGTTTTAATAATAAAAAAGATATGGATAAACATAAGCCAAAGGATAACTGTCAAAAGGGAAATGTAATTCTGCTGTTCTAATGGAAAACTACTGTAAATGCTGGAACTGCGACTTTTTTTTTTTATAGTTCTTTAAACAGAAATGAAGAAATGGAAAATGTGTGAAACTGTTGCACGATAAACACACTCCCTCAACTGCAAAGAGGTTGAATGTATCATTGTTTTAATTCCACTGTTAAAGTGAAAGTAAAACGATGTGCAATCATGCTGCTGAGAATTAATAACTGGGAAAATTAAGAGCTCAAAACACAATTATTTGACGTAATGCCTCTTTAAGTTTTAGTGCTAATTTAACACTAGAACTCCCAGAGCAGTCAGTTTCGAGAGCTTTTCATTTTGGAGGTGTAATTACTCACGTTTATCTAGTAGTTTATGTTTATGTCATTATGTTTATGAAATGATCTCGACCCTAGACTTTTCCGAGAGACTGGTTCAGAGCATTCTCGGCCTGGTTACCATAGCAACACACTGTTTACTTGCATGAGTTAGCATTTTGTTTTACTGTATCTATTTATATTCACCAGATTTACATTGTACTAAAAATAAAAACGTATGAATTGCTTATTGCTCCGGTGGACTCACCACCTGCAGGAGGATCAGTGAGGGGCTGGTGCTCTGTAACTGGGTGCAGCTCTGACTGCCACCCCCCTGACCCAGAAATGGATTAAGGGGAAGAAAATGGATGAATGGATGGAATTGCTTATGTTTAAAAAAAGCAGTGAATTATTATTTTTTTCAGAATTCCTCAAAATGACTGCTCTGTGAGTTCTAGTAGGCACGGTGGCGCTGTGGTTAGCGCTTGAGCAAAAAGTTGCCGGGTTCGATTCCACCTCCAGGCCTTTCTGTGTGGAGTTTACATGTTCTCCCTGTGTTTGTTAAGGTTTCCTCCGGGTGCTTCGGTTTGGGTTGATCTTAAATAAGTTATTGCGTTTTTTGATGTGGTCATCATGGTGCCTTTATGTTCGATCACTGTGGATGATGTGGGTCAATTTTTCAGAAGGTTTTCTCTTTTGTTTTCCCGGCTGGACTCCCCTGGAACTGTCCAGTTCAATGCTTAATGACGCTTTAATCTTGTGTGGGATTAGAATGACTCAAACAAAAGTGCGTTGTTGAGTCTGTATTACTGTAGTCCGTAATTACTTATGAGAGATGTCATTTCTGAATTGCACTCCTTGTTCTGTGGTGAGAATACCTGGTGCCAGAGAACTTCTGATAAAGAAGGGAGGGGCTGGTTCCGTATCAGGAAAGAGAAGTTTTAAAACGCAAATGAAGGGTGTATGTTTTGAGACCGAGTGGATTCATTTATTTATTTTTGCATAGCCCTAAATCACAACAGTAAGTCAGATCAGAGAATCCAACAGTTGAAACACAGAAAATGCAATGATAAAAATAACACAAAGGACTAAAAAAATGTCAAACATTTCCATAAATGTCCTGGATCATCACCACGGTCTTATGGTG